CTGAGGTGGTGAGACTCACTGTCAGCTGCCTATAGAGCGATGTAAGGGGGCTGGGGGGAAACGTAAGTGAACTCAGAAACCTCCAATCACTCCTACTCCCCAAAATAATAATCATAACTAAAACCTGACTAACCCCCATTATTGCCGACAACGAAACCAAAATAAGTGGTATTGTTCTTGTCAGGTGGGACAGAGATAACAAAGAAGGAGGGAGTTACCAAATACTTAGACAAGCGGTTTAAATGGGTACGTGCAATGGACCCACCACTTACTGAACTGCCCGACTTATATAGTGCCATTTCACTTCAGGCCACACCAAGCATTTATTGGTTGGTATCTGTCGATCACCTAGCTGTGGGGCAGAGCAAAACCAGCCACTGCTCAGCACCATCACAGGAATACGGGACTTTGGTTATGGCGAAATCACTCTGGCTGGGGACTTCAACACCCCATTCATTAACCTTGGCTGAATGTGTGCTGAAGGAAAGATCTATCAAAACCTGCTACTAACCAGTAGAAATGCAGGATTGACAGAGAACTCTGGAGACGACATTAGGCCAGTCTCTACTGGTAAGTCATCAAAACTGAACTGTATCCGAACTAGTGACCAGTTACTAGTCGAAAACCTCCAAATCGTGACCTCACTAGGTAGAAGTGACCACTCAGTTATAGTGTCTGATCTCGCTCGTCGTGCGCGCTTACTATGGGATGTTACGCTACCCTGCCTGTGCACTGACAGAGCCGACTGTGCCGAAACACGGTGTCTTTGTCCAATGCGGTATGGCCCAAAGACTAGGCTTGTAACAACCGAAGACTACGGCCAGGCAACAGATCATTCATTAAAGAAATCAAAGCATATTTATATATTTTCATGTACATTATTAAAGTTTAGTTAAGCAAGCAAACACAGCCTTCTGATTGGTTGTTTCTCACTTAAAGTTAATCTTTCATCTCTTTGTGACTGTTTCTTGAATGTCAGATCATCTACATGTTAACTGTATCCGCCTACACAAAGTCTGCTGTGGTCGGTTTTGAATCAGTCTTTGTTCATATTTTCTCACGACAAATCTTGAGGACGTAAACATTGACGTAAATTACTGTCTACCCATTTGGCTAGCAGACAGCTCTCACCACAGGCTGAGTTATCCGTGGATGAACACTGAGAAGTGGTAAAAAGGATTACTCAGATAGCAATCTCAGACACTGTCCCTCTAGTCACAATACCACCAAAGAAATTTATTTATTTATTTACTCCTGTTTATGCAGGAACATACCAATTGTACAGGCATGGATAAGTTATTATATAAATTACACATGTTTCGATGTATGTTGAATTTACAGTTTGTTTGTTCTTTCTGACATTAGAGTCAGTTGGAACAGTCTGCAAAATAGTCTGTCTGTGTAACACATGAAGAGATATAGAAATATTGTCTTCGCATTAACAAAAATCCCAGACTTCAGATGAACGTAATACAAATATCTGGGAAAAATAAAGCTTGAAGTCAGTTCTCCTATAAAACTTTGTTGTGAACAGCATCCATGAGATAAAGTTTATTGATGTATTATTTTGAGGTCAGTGATGTATTTATTACATTTTTTTCAGCAGTCTAATCGTAGTTTTATAATAGGAAAGAAATTTGATCTTTGATACGAAAATTAGATAAGGTAATGTTAGACTGTTTTACTGCAGCAAATGGGGTCGAGGTCAATTCTAGAACTATCCATTTGCGCCATTTGCGTCAGCATGGCAGACTGTACATGTAAGTTGGGTAATTCATTGAAAACTGCTTGATAACCAGTTGTTTCTTTATATCAGATCAAGAATACTCCTTGTACGGAATGTCAGCCTGCGTTTTCAAGTGGTTGCATCGGATCGTTCATGGAATTTGAGTTTGAATTTACTTAAATGGTCATTTCAGTTTAGATGTTGGGTTGTTCGACCTCGACCAGAAGGTATATAGAAGAGTAATCTCAGCAGCAGAATGGCAGAAAGATAAAGTATGTAAAATATACCCATGGCCATAGAGAGGTGCGCAACGTATCCTGCAAGCGAAGCGGAAGGCTTAGTCTACGTGGCGAATCACCAGAAGTCAGGTCAAACGACCACGATGCGCATCTGGAACACAGGAAACAATGCAACACAGCAGTCAGTAGTGACGGGAGGTCATTTCAGGCAAATCTTACCAGAAAACTTCTGGCGGACCCCAGAATTCTGCGCCGGTTCATGTGGGAGAGAAAGTCGACCAGCCAGGGTGCACTGACATTAATAGGTTCAAAGGGCCAGTATGTCCCTAGTTTGGAAATGGCCGAGATATACAGTGCAGATATTGACAGACAGTTATACCGGTATGGGCCAAATAAGTGGCGCTACCATTTTACCGAAGGAAAATCAAGTGGCTACGCTCCAAATAAATCTCACAATGGTATTAGTGCAGTTCCAGAAACCTAGATCCGGAAAGTCCTCAAGTTGTGACGACGTTTGGACATCTGTTCTAAAACAGTGCACTGAAGTTGTCTGTAAGCACTTATGCAGTCTGCTCTAACGCTCGATGGATTCAGGGAGACCGCTAAGGGAGTGGATAAGAGCCATTTTGTCTCCTATTTGCACAGATGGGATCAAAAGTGGTATCAAAAGTACTGGGAATTATAATCGATGGTCATATCACGGAAAACCTTGAAAAGACCAATAGGTTCCATGAAGCACAACGTGGTTTGTCGAAGGCAATTGACCATGACCTTCTCCGTCACTGAACAAGTCAGTCAGATACAGGTTGCCCGCTTCTGTCATGGTTGGGTACTACTTAGTTGAAAGGGAATTCTGTACCGAGGTCAGTTGAGTCTGATTATCCCTGCACAGCTCGTCATCTGGAGTATTTCAAAGCTCTATCGTAGGGCCAGTGATAATTTTGAATTTTATCAATGATTTGTCATGCCACCTAAGCTGCCTGACTCTTCTTAACGCGGACGACGTAAAGATTAGGACAGCGATGAAGTGCTCGGCAGACTCATAGGATGCAGGTACACCTACTGTAACGACAGTAGACAAGGGCCAGGTAAAAGATAGTTCATTGAGAAGATCAACAGATATTTGTAGATTTTTATGTACATTATAATTCTTTGCTTTAGCAGAGAAGTAACGTCTTCTGATTGGTTGTTTCCTTGCTGAATGTTATTCTGTACTGCTTGTGACCGTTTCTTAGGAATTTAGGCCATATATCTGCGAATCGTATTCCCTCACGTTAAGTCTGCTGTGATTGGTAGTTGAGCCCCTGAAGGTTACGCTTTGTTATTGTTTTTTCTCATGAACCTGATTTGGGACGTAAACATTGACGAAAAATTGTTGTCTACAATTTTGTCTTGCAGACAGCTCTCCCCACACATCAACTTCTGGAAGACTGCGAGGCGGCTAATGATGTGACTTTCAGCCTGGAAAAGTGCAAAGAAATGAAGTCATGCAACTGTGGGCTGCAGAGTGCAAGTTGAGCCTTATAGAACGAAAACTTGTCCTGCACAACATTGGAGCGTGACTTAGGTCTAGTTCTAACGGAAAAAATAGACAGAAGCGTGAATTACATAGGGAATGTAGTGGGGGCATATGCGGCCATACACTGTACTGATAGAAAGTTAGGTACACTCACTTCTGAGCTCTGAAGTTGTACAGAACATGTCAGCCAATATAACTGCACCTACACTGCTTCAAAGAGACGAGGACCACTATGACGAGTCCGAAGACAGGAGACAAAAGGGATGATGGGTCTCTGAAAGAAACCACATGATGAAAGGCTAAATAAATTATGCCTCTCCACACTTAGCTAGGCTTAGGGAGGGGCTTGATTACCGCCTATGGGGTTATGAATGACCAAAATCACCAAAACAAATGTGTTATGAGGTTAGGTACGTATGGGATTCTCAGGAGGAATCCCTGAAGAACAGCTCACCAGGAGAAAAAGACATGAGTGCCCTCCCATGTCATTTCGCTGCAAGTTTGCCGTCCTTGGAACTTTTTGCTGGTAGACGTAGCTACTTCACCGTCCGTTGACAGCTTAAGGTGGAGACAGCGATACAGGGACTGTGTCCAAAGGACCTGTTCTTCCGAAACTCATGCATTATTAATGGGTGAACATCTAAACTCATCTTTTTAAATGAATTATAATTGCATTTTAATAGATTACACACAATGTGTGTGTCTGTTTTTATGTCTCCTTTATTTTTCTTTCTTTTAGTTTGCATAAAATGGAGGTTGACGGTATCGACGTACGCAAATTGTACGGAGTATACCAACGCAAGATTTTATACCAGCAACTTCTAAAGTATTCGTTTCTCGTGTACCAAATACAAAGCAAAAGACCGGATTTAGTCGTCCGAAGTACGTGATATTTTTCGGTACCAAATAGTATACCGTATCGAGTGTCTAACTAGCTAGTGATCGTGCACGCATGTGACACGATGGAGTACCGAATGGCGAGGATGCTTGACCGGAAGCCTTCAGCTAAACAAGTCGACTTAAACAGTGAGAGTCAGCATCCAATGTTGAGTGATGATTGCTGTGGTCAATAATTTTGGAGAATTATTTACCACTACAATATCTATTATCCTTTACTCTTTTCTTTTGTTGACGACAGCAGATGACTAACTGGTGTAAAGATCGACTCCATTCACAGGAGCAACACGGTCCTAACACACTGCATACTGCAAACAGCAAATAATTAATGCCAGCACCACTATTTTTGGAGTCAAACGAGGCTGTGACATTAGAGTTGCTGGACAAACCACACAGAAGTTTAGCGAAGACCAAGAACTTGCACCTTACAATCAAGAAGCGAGCACAAAGAAATCAAATTGGTTAACACTAGCTCGTAAAAAACGGTATGGAATATTGGAGTGTAAGGACCAACTAATCAGAAGTCTAACAGAGACGGCCAACCTTTACAACCTAGAGGCGAGGGTACAGAAATTAATTCGATTTTACACGACCTCGTAGAAACGATATTGAATATTGGATGCGACCTTGTACTCCTCTTTCAAATTTGTGCGTGTCACAGAATGACTGTCAACGATACTAAAGGGCAATCTAAAGAGAATGCTGTTGATAAAAAAAGTTCAAAGCCAGCAGAAAAGGTGGATGTAGCGATATTGGAAGAGGATGATGACTTTGAAGAGTTTCCAGCACATGGTAATCTGAACAGTTAATCATAATTTTTGCAGCATGTTCTGGTGTTCCTGCTGGTGAAGAAGCTACACTTTGGGAAGACAACTGGGACGATGATATAGTAGATGATGAGTTTACTCACCAGTTGAGGTATGTTTAAAGTGAAACTATTATGCTTCTTTTCAGAGCTGAATTTCAGAAGCAGGGGAAAGCATTTGTCGTACCTGAAATTTCCGCGAATTTCGATTAATGTTATTCAAATGCCTATTAAAAATTTTCTCTAATAAATTCAATCGTTCTGGTTTGCTCGTTTGTTGTTTGATTGAGGACTTCGGTGAAGTACATATGATATGTGACATGGCGTAAGAAACTAATATAGAGTTGATTTCCTTGTCAGACCCAAAATGTAATACTTACCTACAAATACCCCATGTGAAGAGTTGTGAGCAAGCTATGTTATTTTGAATGTGGCCTGTCAGTTCTATAGGATTATCCTTCGGAAATTTCGGAAAGCAAAGATGTCATTTTGTACATGAAATATTTTTGTTCCTAGCCGACAACTTATGTTATGCTTTTTGCACTGAAGTGGTTAAATTCCTAAAGTAAGTGACACTTATGGCCCGCTCATGGTTAGTGTTAATTGAACACCCCGGATTTATCACATAAGTACACTACAGTACTTTGCTCGAGTTATGTCCTTGATTAATGCAGTAATGTGAGAACGTTAAACTTCGTAAGTTTTCATCAGAAGATTAATCCATGTGATGAGAAGTAAGGTTTAAATCTGTATTAATCGAATTAAAACTACAGGTACTGGATATATTTTAAGACAGTCGAAGAAGCGCTGTTTCACAACTTATCTCTAACTACATCATTCAGCCATAATATCTACAGCCATAAATTTCTTGATTTCAGTTTAGGAATTAGAAACTTAGTTCAAACATTGGAGGTTAAAGCGCCACACACTAAAGCCATGTTAGCATCATACATAATTATTGCTAGTTGTTAATTAAGGTGTTCCCAATATCCTTCCGTAACAAGTGTACGAATTTGACAATCTTGTAGATTCTATCAGTTTCAGAAGTGGGATTACACTAACGGGCATATCGTCTATTTCTGGTTTGATTGATGCACTGATGTGCTCGAAAGGATTGTAATTATACTTAGCACTTCTTTGTGTAACCTGCATCTCTGAGAAGACTTTCTTAGATTAGCTGACCAATAATTAAAGTGATTATATGTCTGGCTCACCTCCATGTCTGCGTAGATTTATAAACCCCTGGATTTGATTCAAGGGTGTCTGATTTATTCCCCGTATTACGTCACTACGGAAGACTTGTTTACCTTTACATTAGATGAGAAGCACTTTTTGGTATGATATAAGCGTGACATACAAGCATCTGTCTCGTGTTATTCCTTCATAGTTTTCATTTCTTGTTTTCTTTTTCTGCTTACCAGTGTGGGTTAGGTTTTTATATTGTATGATTGTATACTTCTTAATTTGTTATAAGAAAACCTCTTTTAATAGTGGAACTGAAATGAGCTTGTATTGTGATAGTTAACGTTAGCAGAAAGTGGATTCACTTTATTTCTTAGTACCAATATATGACATTGGAATAGTGTTTATCATTAGTATACATGTATCCTACTTTTTGGAATTCCAAATAGATGTCTGTAAGCTTTATAAACGATATTTGTGTTGTCATTTTAAAGTAGTTTAATTGAGTTTAACTCATTACTTAACTTTTAAGTAATGGTCCACGTATTCATACTCTACACCATCTACTTCGATCTGGAAAACTGAATGGTGTTATAAGTTCAGGCACAGTCAAGTATAACTCATAGTTCGGTATAAGAACACGCGCTACCTCGTGTTACATATTTTTGTAAGTTTCATATAAAACTTATTTTATTGGAAGATAACAGGTACTGTTTCCTAGTCCCCTTTTTCATTCTGTTTTCTGAGAGGGGTCCTTTTCGTCTATACATACCTTGGATGCTTACCTGTTTGGTTTTATTGTATTCCCTAATATATCGGAAGTATATTGAAGTAACAGTTGTAAAATGGCATTCTGAAACGGTAAATACTGTGTAACTTCTAAAATCTGGTGCTTCTCATCTCTTTTATCAATGTGACTCGTTTTTCACGTGTTAAATGTTATTTTGTGTAAAAGAAGCTTGAATAGATCAATGTGCACAATTGACAACTGGTTGTAATGCTTCAAAATAGTCCTCAACTTTTTGACCTAATTGTTTTTTTCTGTTTTAGAAATACCATTTATTGTAAATATGGATGATGACTCTCCGACTACTTCACCATATCACACAACAGGTCCATTCTCAGATACTAGTTTTGAAGATATATCCTCAGAGCACAGCCCAGATTCATCCTTGGATGAATTCAGTGATATAGATTGGGATTATAATGAAAGTCTTTTAAAACCTGAGTCGGCAGAAGGTTCCACGCATTCTCCAGAGGCAACAACTTCTTATGCCGAAATCAGTGGATTTTATGGACAAGAAGAAATTAAACAGAAGTTAGAAAGTATAAATTATTCACCTCAAAAAAGTCTACCGCTATCTGATTATTATATGTCCTTGGATTCATCGAGTGACGAACCTGAGCACAAACCCCAACCGTTTCTGCATTATTATAATGATGACAGTAGCTCTGATGAAGTAAAGAGAGCTGAAAAATCGGACGAAGAGGTGATGAAGTCGGTGAAACCGTCTTTCAATCGAAATGTGAATTTTAATACTAAAATGTAAGACTACAGTGAAATGTTCTAATTTAAATTTAGTTACACTATAAAATGCCAACGTCACTTACATACGTTTGTCATCAACTGAATGTTTTGAAAATTAGATAAAATGCTACAGAAATACTATTTGTTCCAGTCTTGCTATGCTTCACTTTATTGATGAATGAATCCATTTTCATAAATTCAGTTCTGTTGATAAAACAAGAAAGTCTATATTTATGGCGGTATGATAGAGATATAATCGAAGACCAGATATAATATATAGAATGGTCATACAAGATCATGATTAGAAGGAAGTACTTTACATTATTCATCTTGCCACTTTCCGATTGTGACAAGATTTTCCGCTACGGAGTTAATATAACACTTAAACTCTAGATTCCGAAAGAAAGGTATGTCGTATGATGAACCTGTCTTGGCAATCCGCAACTATAAGGACATAGCTGCCGACTATTCTGTGCTGTCTTATGGATCACATTTCAAATCAAAAGCTCGAGGGGTGATTCCTTATGACAGTCGCCGGTATCGGCCTTGGCAGTCAGGTAGTATCTCATCTCTTGTTACCTATAGTGTACGAAGTTTGTGTTTCAAATTGGAAGGATTATATAGGACTTGAAATCTTTAGTATGAAGTAATGGAGCATTTATTATGGCTCAGCGCTCAGTACAACTATGTTTTATTTTGAGGCACTATTTCATAAGTTGACCAGTTCCATTGTCAATAAGGAGGATGGTTGGATGAAGTGTTACGTGTTAACTAGTTAACAATGTTGACTGCATTTCAGCAGATATAGCTGCTTGAATATAAACACTTTAAGTTTCGTGCTATTTATAACTTTTGAGATAATTTGGATTGGCTGCTGTTAGTTGTTGGATGCATATGTTTTATCGTCTTGGTTAGGTAACCTGACTAATTTAACAGTTTCTGTAAAGATGAATACTCTGCTTGTTTTAAATCTCTCTCTCTCTCTGTCTTCAGTTTCAATAAGGGTCATGTTCAACAGAGTAGTCTAACTTCAGTGGCTCGAAAAAAGACCATGTTGGCAAAGGCAGTGAGTCGTAAACTTCTATATTCAAAGTTGTCTAGGCGCACGCCTGTTCAACTCGCTGAGAATACAAATTTATGGCAGGTTGGGGAATTAGTTTGGGCACGTTCACTTCCACCCGACAATTTCCCTTGGTGGCCCGCCATAGTGGTTGCAAAGCCAAAAAAATATTCGGGTAAGTGTATGTCTTTATGCAGTGGAAACATCTGGCTGAAGTGTGTTTATACAAATTTAATTATCTTATATGTAATTGTTTTTGGTTTTGTGTTAGTTACTTCAAGTGTATTCCATAGTCTGGCCACCCGTCAAATATTGAATGATTATGAGGGGTCGTACGTTCTAAAATTCCACATTCCGTTTAGCCTTTAAGCTGCGTTCATAATGAAGTTGACAGCGATTAGTAGGAGATAAACTTTACGCTAATTATTATTGTCCTGTGGTAGTAATTAGTAGTCACTGAGTATTTTAGTTCATCCCTTGATGAATAGTGTTTTATTCAGCAGTAGTAGTGTGTGAAGTGGTATAATAGTGTGAGCAATATTGAGGTTAGGCTTCGTTTGAGTGCTAGGTAAGGAGGGGAAATCAATCGACGAGGCTGTGAAGTTACATCGACTGAGATGGTTACGACATGTGTTACGCATGCCTGCCTAGTCATCGCCTTCCTCGACGGGCAATGTTAGCTGACACAGGATGAATTAGGTTGGAAAAGAGTCAGTGGTGGTCAAATCAAAACATGGCTTCTGATAGGATCCCACACACTTTGTTATTGTTCAATTATCTTAACGACTGTTAATCTCGTATAAGTTGTATATCATCAATTCTCACACACTTTGTTATTGTCAATTATCTTAATGACTGTTAATCTCGCATATGTGTTATATTATCATTTCCCAGGCACTTTGTTATTGTTCAGTTATCTTAATGACTGTTAATCTCGCATAAGTGGTATATCATCATTCCCACGCATTTTGTTATTGACTATTACGACCAATTATTTCAAATACTGTTAGCTGTCTCTATTGTTTGTAAAATTGTATAAATACCATTTCCTAAATAAGTTTATTAGTCGTCGTTGTCGTTGTTGTGGTCGTTGTCGTCGTCGTAGTCGTAGTTGTTGTACTACAATATAAAGTCAGAGACCAGACTTTGTCTTTTGATATTTGCGTGGTTCGCTGAATCGGAAGGTACCAGAAGCAGATAGGCATATTAGTCAGGCGCAGACAGAACAAGGCGACAACGTCCTCATTTAACTCCCCTACAGTTACAACAAATTGGCGACGGGGTTTACTTTCATTCATTGCAGATACAACAGGCTGGAGACAATTAGTGATGTTGCTTGAAGTCCTCGTTATCAATGACGGCGCAGATGCATCCACTCCTTGTGACTTATAATACCCAATAAAACTATATGGTTCTTCGGTATTACTATTCTTTTTACCTTGTATCTCTATTTACTGTCTCTATTTTGCATTTCTTCTACTTTCTTCTCTTGCTTTGTGTGCTGCATGGAGTGTGGCGACTCGAACTGCCTGACATCTGTGGAAAGTTCTACGTTGAAACCAGTCAGTCAGTCAGTCGACAGTAGTAGTACAAACCAGCACTCCACTGTGCACACTATATGCTGAATTAATTTTTTTGAACGCATAATTTTATCATAATAAGCTTGAGCTGTTCGATTTGATTATAATAAGAGAAAATTTCTGAACGAATGGGCATACGAGTATAGCGTAATTATGTGATGACTACTTACTTTACTTTACTTCGGCTATCTCCTACGGGAGGATGAGCCGGCTTCATGAACATCTCGAATCATCGCTGCCCAGGCGCGGCGATCTGATGCAAGGTTTTGCGACAGGGTTATCCAATTCTTGTTCCACAGGCGGATTCCGTAGACGGTTTGTAGCCCCAGGCACTCCATATCAGCCTTGACTGTACCAAGCCATGTTTTCAGCTGTCCGCCCCTGGGACATCGCCAAGATGGTAATGGCGAGGGATTTAGAACTGATTTGACCAGATCGTCATCTGGTTGGCGCAGAACATGGCCAAACCACCGAAGGCGACGTTGTTGGACCAGTACTGGAATTTGGTTGGTGTTGTAGCAACGACGACGCACTTCTTCGTTGGAGGTTTGTAAGAGAGTTCATGAAGTTTCATGGGAATTTGGTACGAGTGATGACCCCAGAATCACTCGGCCTTTTGTTTGAGAGGGCAGCTCTAGCCTTTACACAACCAAGTGTGATCTACAAGGCAGTAGGAGTGGAGTAGGGAGTCCACTATCCATTGGCAGCCGGTGACCGGAGTTCGGTTCATACGCCTTTTTGAATGGGGCCAGACATCCAGGACATCCAACAAGCCCTTTGTCCATACGTCTGCCGGTGAGCTCCAGTGAGCTTCGTACGCCAGTCGTTACAGGTTTGGAATCAGGGTTTAGCCATCTCCCCTAGACTGTCATCCAATGGACAGTCAACCCGGTGAAGAGCGCCGGGCATCCGCTTTCGCCCTCTCACTTTGGTGAAAAACACCTCCGCCACGTGAAGGCAGTGAGTAGGACTTCCTCAGGAGAGGCTATGTAAGACGCCCGGTCATATGGGAGCATTTCAAGAGGTGTGCGGAGAATTGGCCAACCCGCAGCGCAAGGCACCCACCCCCGACCATCCTGAGGCTTTGGAGGCTGTGATGACTTCACTTAACACTATAGAGAAGTTAGTTCAAATGGATCGGTAGTATTTCCTCTTCTATAATTATCTTATTCTAGGCTTACAAAGGAGAGGTTGGTGACTTTATTTTATCTCTACTATTTCCACTTATTAGTTTAAACGCATCTGTTAATTTCGACTTATAATAAGTAAAGGTTCTTGTGTAACTCTCAGTCATCCATCTTAACTGCATGGATGCAAGGTAAGAACTGACTTACACATAGATTTATCGGATGCAAGGATAATTTGTACCAACAATCACTACTTGCAAAGGAAATAGTCGTCACAAGTATATCATTGTTTATTCGCCTTTTGTCTAGTTAATTCAATCTCACATATTTGGAGTTCCAAATTAAACTAACCTGTTTATTATTGTTATTATTATGTTATTTTCTATGGAAGCTTAATTCGACCCCCATTTTTGTTAGGAAGTTCTGATTTCAGACGAAATCTCAACACGGATAGAAAAAGGCTCGTGGCATTTACCAACTAACGTCATCTCTGGTGTAAACGTGATATCCTGCGTGTGTACTGCTCACTAATTCTCTCTGTCTTTTATAACTGTGTGATATGGCCATTGAAAGTGGAAGACATGAAGAGACTAGATTTACTTGACTCCAGATGTTTGCGTTCTATCTCTTGTACTAACTAGGTGGTACAATCTGGTGAGTAATATTGAGGTTAGAGGTAGAGTGCTCGGTAAAGAGGGTAAGTCACTCGACGAGACTATATATAGACGCACCAGTTGAGGTGACTAGGACACGTGTTAAGTATGTCCAGCCACCGCCTTTCTCATGGAGTGATGTTGCCTGATATAGGATTAGGCTAGAAAGGAGTTAGGGGTGGTGAGACTGCTGCCTGGCATCAGTCGATAAAGGCTGACTGTTGGTGATATGGCTCAAAGTCATTCTCAGTGGCACAGATGCATTCAGTCTTTGTGATCTGCCATATCCATTAATCCCCCGCACATTGTTTTTCATGTCACGATTCTTTCTGCTTGTTGCCACTCTTTCAAGTCTCTTTTGTCTTTCTTTGTGTACTTTATGGAGTGTGATAAGTGAAACTGCTGTGCTTGTGTACTAAGTTCTATATTGAAGCCAGTCAACGTTTTATAGTCGTCTTATCCTAATTATTGAGTATTTCAGCTTGAATTAAACGCGGAGCTTAAACTATGTATTGATACATTTAGATTTCTTTTTACTTCATATTACACATAAGTGACTGACTAGCACAATAATTTAGTTGTAGCTTAATTAACTTGTATGCGTCCGGGGAGTTCAGTGGTAGAACACATTGCCAACCACACCTCATGTGGTCATGGGGTTCAATTCCCATCACCACCGACGAACTCCTACACCCCACGCTAAGACGGTAATAGAGCCGGTAAAGAAGGAAGGCGCTGGGTGTGAAGTTGGCAGCGACCCCATCCCCTAAAAATGACACCTTTGCTACCAAAACTTCAAAGCTGAAGTTTGAAGTTCTCTATGTTCCACTCGGAAGGTAAAGGAAAAATAATTAACTTGCAAATAGTATATAAGAATGCTAAAATGTCTTGTTTTTTTTTAAAGAAAAAATTAGATATCTTCCACATTTGTCTACAGATGACTTTATTTTGCTTGCCATTTGTATTTTTTCCTCAGAGTCAGAAACAGTACCCGCCACATATCGAGTTTGTCTACTGGGTCTCATTCGACCGCTAACTTTTCTCACTCTTCCACAGACTCGTTTACGACTTTATGCTGGTAGAGAAGAGTATGAGTCTTTTTATCGGAAGACTGTTTTGGAAGCAAAAAACAAACTGCGGGTAATTTGAAGGTTATTATTATTATTTTTGTTTTTTTCTTCTAATAAATGTCGTCAATTATTCTTAATGTTGTTATATTGAGATGGTATGCTTTGTTACTGCTACAGCTTTTAAGTAGCCAAGTCCAGTTACTGCTTTCAGACTCCACGACTTCCGGTAAAATATGTCATGGATTACAATTTTGGTCCAGGGAATAATAATAATAATAATAATAAGGGAGGAAAATTAAAGGAGAATGTGTAGAGTATATAAACTAGTAAATAATAAGAAAGGAGGTTGAGTTATACCTGAGAGTCTCAACTTCTATTGTACAATAATTCAAACGACAGATATCTTCCTTGGAAATCAACAAGATATAGAATGAGGGGATCAACGAAGATTTGAAGAACTGAATTGATACTAAGATAAGATTAGGTAATATTTAATTTGCTTACTATCAATAGTGTCGTTGATATTACAAGAATCATGGGACAGAATAAGTCCACGCAAGTTTTCTTCACAGTTTTTTCTTCACAGTTCAGCGGTGTTTCAGTTGAAGACCATATAACTAAGATCATTGGTTAACCTCAGGTAGGAAATTACTCATACGTGAACAATGTAGTGTAGAAATGAGGGGGGATAGAAATTGTTAGACCATTGGCATATTTTATGAAATTAGCTCTAAACGAAAAGGGCAGGACATGCAAAACAAAGAGAGAAAAAAAGGATGGATAGAGTACAGTGTCTTAAGGCACACCAACTCCTGTAAGCAAAGTAGTGGAGCGCTTTCCCCCACTAAAAATAGGTGTACTGTTTCCTATCTAAAAAATAGAAAGATAACCATCTTGTAACCCAGTCAGACTGCTTGGTAAAAGTACCCTAGGAGGAGTAGAATCAAGAGCAGCAGATGGGGATAAACCTTGCACCTTTATCTAGACTGGAAACTATATTTTGTGACGGCATCTAAAGTGTTCCTACTTCACTTGTAAGCAAATTCCTTGGGATCACTAAGAGATTCTAAACAGGAATGAAGAGCAAGCAAGACAATTTTTTCCATAATTTTGAAAATTGCAGGCATGCTTGCGATTTAAGTGAATTTTAGATTTTCCCGTCGATTGATTGCACCGAAGTGCTTGGTCTCAGGTTGACATGTCAGCTTCTTGTGCAGATGCTTCAACGATGTCTGGGCATCTAATTAGAATTCAGTTTGTGGAATCCAGGATGCGCATTTCGTCCTATTTGGGACTCGTCAGCTGGATGTGCCTGCATTTCCCAGTGAGTGATGATGTTCCCACCGAGGCTCGAACCCAGTGCCCAAAGTTTCAAACGCCAAAGCGTTATCCACTAGACCACTTGGGCCACTAGAGTCACCTCTTGTGCAACGGGTCATATTAATTATTTAATTGAATTTGAGATATTCCCGTCGATTGATTGGACCGAAGTGCTCGGTCTCAGGTTGACATGTGCATCCTGGATTCCACTGCTAGTCACCATCCACAAGTTAAATGCTTGCGATTTGCCTAAACTTTTACACCTGATCCGGATCATGATATTCGTACAGCTACGATCTTTATTTCTTTGGTACTGCATTAGGACCTAGGTCTGTGTGGTAGGCGTAAGGATTTGAGACATGCTATTAATGCATCCTTTTCATTAAAACCTGGAAAATAATTATTCTATGCGACCAAGAAAATCAGGTACAAGCACAGTAGGTTGAACACCAGAACAGAAGCATCAACAGAAATCTGCTATTTTCTTCGTCGATTGATTGAACTAGATTCCTGATGTTGGAAGCATTTTTACATGATAAAAGTGGTTATTCATCGAAAAATCAGCTTGTATGCTATGCTTTCATATATCAATTTGTCTCTTGTTAGAACCCAGTTGCCTGGAGAGAAATCTTTTGTGTATCAAGATCTGTACCTGACTGAGAACTCTAAATGCCTCTGTCAAGGGGAGTCACATCTTGTGACATATGAAGTCATAAGAATGCTGTCAAGAGATAAAATTGAGTAAATTTCCGCTTTTCTCTATTCCTTTACGTTCTCAGTGGAACGTAGGGTGGCTTCAAGCTAGAACTTGGAAGTTTCAGAAGCAGTGGTGTTTATTTTTACTAGAGGAGATTACTAGCCTCATACCCAACCTTCCCTCTTTACCAGTCTTATTACTGGCTTAGCGAGGTAAAGGAGCGCATCGGTGGCCGAGGATCGAACCCCGGACCACATGCATGGCGTGGTTGGCGAGCATTCTACCTCCATGCCACCGACATCCAGTAAATTCACTATTTGATTGACAAATCAAGTATTTATTTTAAACTTTTAGGCTCTACGTCAATTCGCTATTCAGCCAAGCCTACAGGAAGCATGGTTTCGTGCTAGAGATGCTGCAGCTGAGGCGAAGTTGGCTAAACCACGGCCTGCTGGTCGATTAGCATTGTTTCCATGGATAACTGATCCAGCGTTTCTTAAACTTGATCCACTGGCTGATTATGTTAGAAAGAATACTGGAAAATACACATTGTTTGGTAAGTTGTTGTTCAGTGGGTTTTTTTAAAATTTTTCTTGAGATATATCCCTTTTTTGATTATTGTTGTTATTTCGATAGAGAAAGAGAGACCAGATTTGCAGTATAAAATGATATCATTCTATTTCACAGGTTCTCATCAGCTGAAAACTATCTGAAATTACAATGGTTATAAATAATAACATTTCATACTTCATTGTTTGAAAGGTAATACAGAAAGCATTATAAGATAAACGCATCCGGAATATAAGGATTAAAATTTTTGTAGTTTAAGTTACCATCAATTTATATACGAACAAACTATGAAAAAAAGGAAGAAAAAAGGGGGGGTGAGAGAAGACAGAAAAATCTAATAAACAGTGTCAACATGGCAACTTCACAAGGTCAAAGTTCATCAATTTAAAAACTTGCTTAGTGAGTTGAACTCACTAGTGTCTATGAGTAATCAGTGTAATGAAAGTGATATGGTTACCAAGGGAGTGAGAGATTGACTACACTCTCTCTCTTTCTGTGTGCATAAGTTTGGTCTGAGACGTTTGATTGCAATTGCTTCAGCAGTAAATCGTAGTAGATTAGCTGTCCTTTGTATGTTTAATATTTTTAAGGATTTGGAAATCTCAACAAAATGGCCCGTATCCACAAGGTATCTGGTAATTGCACTTTGTAAATATCTGCTTCCTTTTAAGCATAAGTTTCTCGGAATATGCTCTGAAAACCGGATAGAAGCCCTTCTTTCTGTCCTTCCGATGTACTTGCTGCCGCAGGTGCACGTAAATTTATAAATGCAGTTTGAGGTATTGTTGTTATTGTTATTGTTACTATTGTTCGTTCTTTACGTTCTGACTGGAACATAAGGCTTCAAAAATACATCTTAATTGCATTCCGCTATCTGCAATCACCTCCAGATGGCTTTTGCGGCTGCCCAAAGGCATTCATTTCCTCTTCACACCCAATCTGTCGCTTCTCGTTCAGATTACACTGTAGAGTTGAACATGTGTAATGTCACTTGAAGGTTTCCTCAGTGTTCGTTCAATTCACCTTCATTTCTTTTCGCACATTAGTTAGGTAATAAGTTGTTAGCTGATTCTATGTCTTGAATACAATGGAGAAGATTTGTAGCTCAGGTGGATGATTTTGATGTAGTTGTGTTCTCTGAGCTGGATGGTTTACTTGCGAAGCTTTCATTGCCCTGCTAGACAACATCTTCAGCGCATACTTCAATATGTTGAAGTGAGCTTTTAGATTTCTCCACGAGTTTATTAGTCATTTCTCCTGGTGACCCTGAAAGTGGTTGGTTGCTGTTGTGTGTCGCCCCTCCTTCTACCTTGGGTATAATTCCAAGTTTTACGACTTTGTTAATAATGTTTTTTTTAAATTTTCGTATGACATCTTAGTTACATCTTTTTCTTAACCAACCCTTTATTTACTCTTTCTACCTATTACGTCTCAATTAACATCCTATTTCATATTACGCAACCCTTGTCAATACTTACCAATCTTCACCACCCACCCTAGTTACAATTTTGATCATTCATCACATTTTAGAAACATTTTGATGACGTAAACAGTGATCCTAACTAATTTTTATTTTATTTTTGTTTGACAATCCTAATGTACACACACACACACACAAACAAGGATAAAGTAACTATACAAATGCGATTGTACAACTGCGTGAATGAATTCGCCGAAAGGTGACTCTTCGCTGAACTTTATTGTTTCATATATTAATGACTTCATACCCTCTATTTTATTTGTATTTGTATTGATTTTTTCTCTGACCTTAAGTTTGACCTATTATGCATAAGATTTTCCTCTTATAGATTGGTAAATTTTATCAATGTCAATGTGCCTAATAATTGCCGACTCATTTGAAACACCAGGCTCCCGAAAATTCCCCGACATTCTTCGTGTTTCCTCTATCTAATACTTGAATGTTGTCCCAGTTGAATTGATACTGGTGGTTGTTTGTATGCAGTGATTTGAGAGAGTGAATATCACGTCTTTTGACGGTTAGTTTGTGTTTTTGGATGTGAAGATGAAGAGAGTGTTCATTTTGACGAATGTTGTGTGTTTTTTGTAATCATTGCAATTTACCTTGCAGATGATGTTGGTCGTATGTTCTTTCGCTGTTAAGTCTTTTGGTTGACACAGAGCTGAGTCTGAAGTGATTTTGTTGGTTTATATGCGGCGATATCAATTCCTAAAGGTTTGAATAGTCTTGCAGTGATTTCTGAGATGTTCTTTATATTTGGTAAGATTTGCTGTCTGCTTGAGCTCTTTGTTTTTCATCCTTTCCCCACCATGTTGATCGGAAGCAGTTGTTGATGATGAGAGTCGGATATAGTTCCTTGTATTAAGTGCTGAGTAATGAACGCTTGTCTTGCTTTCCAGATCCTGCTTTAAGGTAATCGACCCAAGGTCTCGTCTGTTATACTTACTTATTTACTAAGCTGAGTTTCCTTCACTATCTTTCACTAGCTTCATCTGTGTTGATCTCTTCCTGGATTTGTGGGGCATTATGAGGTCAGTTTCAAGGTCATGATGGGTTCCTGCGTCGGCTGGTTATATGTTTCCGTGAATTCGTTTTCCATTGAATTTTAAAGGTTTTTTTGAACGTTTTGCTGGTTTTGGAGTATGTAGGTCAGTTTTTTGTCACTGGATGCTACTATGACGTTTATTTTTAGCTAGCAGTTCCCAGTTTTTATGTTGGTAGTTGAGGATTATGGTAAATCTGCAATCATTGAGCCAATTCACTTATACTATGCTAATATAGTAACATTTCTCAGTAATTAAACGCCTTAACTGTTCTGCCATTGTTGGATGAAACAGTGGCAGAACAGTTACGGATTATTTGCTTAAGGTAGAACTGTGCGCTGGTTTGTCATCATGACTGGCACCAGTTCAGCACCTTGTTCTTATTCTACGCATTATCAGAAGTAGCTTATCAGCCTTATTGCAGCCCTTCTAGTCCAGGTTCTTCTCCTCCCAAGCTTACCATAATGCTGAATTAAATCTCACTAATTCCAACGTTCTACAGTCAGTAAATTCTGGATCTTTTCTTAAATAGACTCTTTAATTTCACAGTCTAGAACTCAGTTTTGGTTTTCAGCATGACTGACACTAATTCAACACCATGTTCTTTTTGTAGACATTTTCAGGAGTAGATGAGAACCTACTGGTTTTGCTTATCAGCTTTATTTAAACCCTTTGAGCTCATTTTCAGTACGGACTAGCTTAACTTCAGAAGAAAAAGACTTAATTTAGCACATAGTGGCAATTTTTTTGAGCTTAAATTTGGAAATTATATTTGGAAACTGTAGTACAATGTCACTGCAAATCCGTCAAGTTAGGTCCACTGGTAGCACCCTGTAAATAAGCAAAATGAAATATCAGTTGATGAAACATTGTGCTCATCACATTCTCAGCATTTACATTTAGAAAAGTCCGCTTACATAACTGCCACTGTTATATCCCCTGCTATCTTTTCCATTTGCCTAGAAATAAAAACAATGTTGTGATTACTAGATGTTGTCTTAACGTTAACCTATAAAACGAAGCGGGCGTTTAACAGTATTACCTGAATTCCTTTCTTCAGGTTACGCCTTTGGACACGATCTTTCAAATTATGAATGTACGATTTCGTGGCCTAATCCATTATGTCACCAACCTCTCTCGATGTCATCAGTTGGTCACTACAGAAATAAGTACTTCATTAATGAACCTTACATCTCGTGACTGAATTTCGAACATCTGAATATCCCTAAATTCCTTGATTTAAATAGTGTATTAAAATCATCACTAAAATCACAGTAGGGTCGAAAGCGTATCCTATCTTCACTTTCCATTTCAACTATATTCCCCCGGTTTACCTGAGGCTAAGATTACATTGTCCGGAGAATAAGAAGTAAATATGACGTTCAGATAAGTTAACTTTCCTTTGCTAAACTTAACGCCTTTAGTACTAGCTTCTTTAGGTACATGCTTGACACCTGTACTTTTCATTAAGTGCACGTGCTCAACATAACGCTGAGCTGCCTGCTTAGCCACAACATATCCACAGTGCACGAACTGTCTGATCATGTGCATATAGAATTCAAAGGGAAATGCACTGAATCCCTCTAATAGCCCATGCAGCTCGACGTCATCCACTGTACGTTTCAGAAAATGAATATTGTAAACAATATGTTCATCTCCGAAACAGTTCTCATATTGCGGTAAGAAATTACTCCATTCTGTCCGAACAGCATCCAAAAACAGTCGGCTGTATTTAGTACTCGAAAGTAAGTATACTGCCAGGGAAAATTTCCTATAATTATCGTACAGGGGGGAGGCAGAATGTTCCTGAGTAGGCGAGACCCAAATATAGTAGCTTTTTAGAACGACCAGGGTTATTTCAGTACATATTGGGTTCACTTCAAGTAGATAAAATATTCATTTACCGTAAAAAGGCATTATTGACGCGTTGGTTAGACTTTGCTGAGAATTGCTGCAAGGTTGGTACTTTAAGCGTCCCAAGCTTACTAAACTATACCTCCAAAAGTGCATTCATACCCCACAAACTTATATTCCATAGGGCCAGATGGGTCTTTTTTACCTGAATCAAGCCGTTAGGATGTGTTGGATTCCTTTCAAAGAAATAATGAACAATTTAGTTGTTACCTTCATAAATGTATCAAAAGCTTGCTTAAGTTGCACCCACGTATAAAATACACAACTAAGCATTACTCTTTGGAATATAGCCATTACATCAGACAATATAGATGACACATTTCGTGAAGTAGAGGCTGCAGGAGTATCTTGTAACGTCATGTAATGGTTTTAACAATGACTAACGAACACAACATTATAATTTCAAGTAGATGAATAATAGTATATATTTCAGTGCTCATAAACCACTGTTGTGACCTAGTAAATTTAATTGATTTATGCTGACCTAATATGCACAAATCCCACAGGTCACTAAACTAACAACTTAAAAAAGTGGATCAGTTAATACATACATTTATCTATATGTTCTAATTAAAGACACATTATATGTTTAGAAATTGTAGTTGAATTATATTCGCATAGTAAGCAAAAATGCATACATCCTATTTTGGGCTTAAAATAAATGCATCAAAATTATTGTTAATTTATATTCACTTGCTAGACATTCTCATGCATCTCAATGTACTTTAAATACCACAAATGCATCCAAATAGCGTGTGACTATCACACTACACTCACACCAAAAAAATTAACACGCCGTTATATTATGGTAAGTTAAGCCTGAAATTAAACTGACTGTAAATTTCCGTGTCAAAATAAAGAGACTGCCATTTTAACTTCTATTTTAGACCAATAAGAAGCCAGCTAGCCAACAGCCAATCAAAATCTGCCTATATCGCTTTTCTTTCTTCCCTGAGATGTTTATACAGGTTTCTGCACATAACTCTTTCAATGATGTCGCTTGTCTCTGACATTTTGCTAATGATTGCAACGAAGGTGTCTTTTTTACCTTCGTCCTTCAGTTTCTAAATGTTGAACTTGAGTGTGTAGTCTATCTTCAGCTTCTTTGAAGGCTTTCAAATCGATTCTGAAGGTTCCTGACACTAGATTTTGCTCTTATTTTATATCTGCTTGTCTTCTAGATCTTTTATCCAGTAGGATGCCTCTCCACTTCCTGGAGATTGAGATGAAGTCTGTCTAATTTTTGTGTGTCCATCTAATGTGAAACTGACGTCACCTTGTGCATATTCTTTTGGTTGTATACGTCACCTACCTCCAATCGCGAAATCATTAAACGCCTAGAAGTTTGCAAAGAGTTGTCTGTTCCTATTCCTCTCATTGAGCGCCTCTCGACTCATGATAAGCTAGCTCTCTTCCTGAGTTGTCTACTTCAAATTTGACATTCATATCACCCATTGGAATTTTGACATCATCACCTGACTGGAGTCTTGTTGATTACTGTTTGGTGTTTTCTGTAGAAGTTCTCCTTCACTATTGAGTCTGCATAGTCTGTAGTTACCGCATAGTTGTAACTTTCGCTCCTACTGAATCGAATCTCGTCATGATCCTGGAAAAGATTGCATCCCACCTAGTGGGAACCTTAAACGCTGTTAGTGACAATTTTATTCAGTCTGCTCGCACAGTTCCCTAACAAGTCTATGCTATATCTTGTAATCTTTTACAATCTAAGCAGCCTTGTTAGGCAGCCTCAAACATATTGGGGATATTCTATGTCCCTATGCTTAATTTAACCTTTATTGTAAGAAGACAAATCGACCGACTGACTCCCTGAAAGCTTTACCGCACACACACATACCAATATCATCCATCCGTCCTTGAATTGAAGAGTCTTCTCGATCCTATCGGAAAGCAAGTTTATATATGAAGATTCACTAACGATATGTGGTTGTCGACCCCACACTGAATCATCTCTCTCTTTTCTGAGCTTAAGACTACCTAGGCTGGTAAACTAGGTGAGGTTGGTCTTTCTCTTGATACTTGTTAAGTTTTCATGTCGTGAACATTTCACTCGTTACCTAGAAGTGATTGATAGTGATCTGATGAACGAGTAACATTTAATTCAATGGTTTTGTTAGCTATCTTTTTATATTCTATGTAAAGATGTTATTATTGGGACTGTGACTCTTTGGTGTAGGTGCTTGAATTCTAGTCACTGAACCTTGGCTCTGAGCCCCGCTCTACCTAACAGTGTTTTGACAGTCAGGTAGTATTACTAACTGCCCCCCCCTCCCACACACACACACAGACACAAAATATGTATGACAGGTTGCCAAATGCCTGGAAATTCGGGTTGTTGCTGTTGCTGAGGGTACATTAAAATGTCTTTGTTGTTACATAATTCAAAACCCTTGAGATATTTGAAGTTAACGTTAGTGTTTTTTGTTTTGAGTGTGTGGTATTTTTAATGACTTATCATGGGATAATTCATATTCTATGAATGAGCATGTATATAGACATACACGCTTCAGTTGCAAGGTTATTTTATGAATTTTCAATAGTTTGTCTGTAGGAATTTGATTTGTGTCAAAATTCTGATCATGGATTGGCATCAGTCAGAGAAAACCACAGAGTGCTGGGCAGCTGTTATTTCCCAGTTCGAGACTCTTCAATGGTGCGCACCCACCGGGGTTGTAACTCAGGTCCCTCTGACTACAAGGCGAGCTCGCAGACCATTCAGCCACTGCGACCCGATTCAATGGCCCATGAGTTCTAATTTCTACGAATTCGTGATTTTAGCGCTATTGACCCCAACCAAATGTCATCGTTGTCGAGTACTTATCCTCACACCTAACCGAGTGGACACCATTGATCAGGACCTCTTGTAAATTTTATGGTTTTAAAATTTCGTTTATTAATGCACACATCTTAAATATTTTATTTTTCATTTCCAATTAATAATCAGGTAAATCACGTAAGCGTACCCACTCGGAAGATAGTAGTTCTTCATCAGAAGATTCAGACACATCGCCTGCTTCTGACAGTGATGCTGATTCTAAAGGGAAACACGGTCCAGGTTCTCATGTCTCTTCGTCGACTACTTCAGGCAGTTCATTTGGACCTCGAAAACCATTAAAACCTTCAAATGATGATTCCAAGGTTAGCTGATAATAAAAATAAATATTTTTCTGGTTTTCATTCTTTTAAAAGTAAATTTCTCTACAGTTTCATCTTCTGTTTTTATCCATATGCATATTATTTTCAGGACTTCAAATGAACCATCGATGAAGATGTCAAAAACAGCCAGAATCGGTAAGTTAAGACAGGTCTTCATCACTCTAAATTTAGTTTGGAGATCTTCTTCATTCAGTATAGTGAACATAATTCGGATTTCCAACACACCGGTGTGTCAATTCAGTCAGTTCTTGTATATGAGTCAGAAACTTGACTCCCCCCCATGTCACGGAAAGCATTTTCAACAGCCAGTTGCGGACTTTTATCAACCAACAGCTATCCCCTTCGCTGGCTCCATATGGGGAGATATAATGGCCAGAAAGAATTAGCAATAAGAAACAATAGGAACAAATCAACTAGGAAACTATTGCTCAACAAATATCCCGTAGAAAATGGAGATGGATTGGGCAGGCGCTGGGGGAACCGTCAAATGACATAGTGCTCCAGTCCGACCCTTGGTTGAGTGGAACCCGAGTTGAAGAAGGCGAGTTGGGTGTATGTCCGAGGCTGACATGGAGGAGATCAGAGATTATGGGCAGTAGTGGGGTCAGCTACAGAGGATCACAGAAAACAAAACAAAGTGGAAATGTGCCTTTGAAGCCCTTTACTCCACTCGGAACCCAAGGGAACAGTAATAATAATCAAGTGGGCCTAGAGAAGATAAAGATGAGGAAAATACCTAACCAACAGCAACAACAACAACAAAAGCAAGCAACACACTTGAGAATGTCAAAGGTAGAATGCGAAAAGCAAGACAGACAGACCTACATTATTCTGAAATCCACTGTGGAAATCGACTGCACTCGACATAAGCAGCAACATTCAGATTTTAAACATTGATTGCTGTCAAGTCATTGCTTCTATATACGATTCACAGATTTGGTGTACTTTTCGCCAAGTCCATTTCCAACTGAGGTCTTCACTGACCCCAGTACCAAAAAATTGGATGCCACCGGCCACAAAATAGGGATAAGCGGTGACAATTGACTCTGGCAATGAATCACCCAAGAAATATGCAGAAGGGAATCAAGACGGGTCAGAAATACAATGATGAAATCACTGAATAATGTTGTGCGCTAGGCCCACGATTGGAATCTAAATGGTTAGCAACGATGTCGGGTATTCATCCGAGGGTGACATGTGTATGTGCGAAAGAAGTAAAAGCGTGTTGGAAGAGGTAACGAAAAAGATTGCGGTGAGGTGAATGAAATAGATATATGTTAGCGAAACGACCGTCCAACAGTGCTTACATCACTTCCATAATCGGACTGACTGACTGGGTCTGGGTAGCAAACACTACTACTGATTGATGTAATGATACTACTCATCTGAATCTATCAGTAGTATATAGCTATCGTATACTATTTGAAGTGGTTTTATTTTAATACTGATAATTTTCTCTGCCTATTTATACTTATAGAATGATAGAAAAACTGGCCTCCGTTGGATAGATTTGGCGAATTCTTTTGAATTTGAAAAACTACGCTTTGGTTATACTACACCGAAGCATTACTTTTTATGTTGTGTTTGTGGTGAATGCCATCCAGCATGGAGTGCTGGTAATAATAACACTACTACTACTACTACTACTACTACTGCTACTACTACCACGAACAGTAGTAGTCAATCAACTCCACGGAATACTGTTGGCCTGGCACCACTCACACCAGATATGAACACTGGTTTCGATCCACAGAAAACCTGTAGTCAATCAACACAATCTGACAGGGTGGAGAATACAGTAGTTATGCCATGTGCTGGTGGCTGTGGGAATTATCTACACTTATATTGTGCTCCGCATATATTTTATAGGATTATAAAGCATAAAATTTGTGAAAATAATGGTACAGATGATGGCGGGGGTGGTGGTGGTGGTGGTGGGAAAGACACACCAATGACAAATGCAGGGTATACTGAATCCTCAGTACAACCTAATCCAGTGTGTAGTTTGTGCTTAGCTGGGCTAAGACAGTGCTTCATTTGTTATGTGAGTTTCTATTTCCTCTTTTTACTTTGTTTTGGTTGATGTATATTCCTTTTTATACACCTTTCATTTTTTTTGTGAAAGCCAATATTTTGGATTCTCAGAAGTATTCCGGATGCCACAGGATTTCATCATAAACTGACTTTGGTTAGAGGACCATTGGCAAACCAGGGAATATTGGTCAGCCTGCTGTTTCGTCCCAGTTTTTGACTCTTCGACAGTTCGCACCCACCAATAGGAGTTTGAACCCAGGACCTTCCGACTACAAGGCAAGCTTGTGGACCATTCAACCATTGGGACGCAGTCCAGTGGTCCATGAATCCCTACTTCTGTCAATTTACCCCGGTGGGTGTGTACTCTTGAAGAGTCCCAAACTAGGCCGAAGCATCTGGCTGTTCAGTACCGTCTACTGGTTTTCCAATGGTTATCTAACCAATTTCAGCTCAGAATGAGATTCTGTAAACAGTCAAATCTCTGAAAACCAACACTTGAATATGCTAGATGTGATGTGTTTCAGTACTCAGGTGTATTCGTAGTTCATCATTAGTAGATTGACAAATCTTTACACGTTAGACACTCACCGAGTTTGAGAGATTTTCTCTTGTAGACTGGGTACGATTAGTCTCATCGCTCACACATTCGACTGATAGCTTGACTTGCGTTCGGCAATCATATAACCAGCTCGCCTAGCTGGAACGCCTGTTATACGGAAGCCTTGGGATAATAGATGCAAAAATGGTCATCTCTTCATTTTATGTGTAATAACTAGGTGTTGTAGTAAGACTTTCGCAAAAGAATTTGGTCTGTCAGTCCTGGTTTTCTCCACAGAGTTTCAAAACAATTGACAAGGTTGTCAAGTTTCATCGATTGAGATGGCTAGGACATGTGTTTCATACGCCTAGCCGTAGTGTTCCTCGACGGGCAATGTTAGCTGACATATGATTCGATTGCCTTCATCAGTCAATAAAATCATAACACCGAGTTAAAGTCACTTAAGGTGTAGACTCCCTGACTGGTTGGGGTCCTCGATATGATGGTAAGAACCAATGAAGGCTGGAGACAATTGGTGATATGGCTCAAAATCCTCATTCTCAATGACTGGCGCAGATGCATTCAATCTTTGTGATTTATTATATGCGATAAAACTCTGTTGTTCCTCCACATTACTATTCTTTTTCCTTCACTCACACTTCTGTTTATTGTCTTCTCTTGCTTTGTATGCTACCAGATGGAGGTAGTGTGGCGGCTGGAAGTGCTGTACATCGGTGCAAATTTCTGTGTTGAAACCACTCACTCATCAGTCAGTTAGTCTGTGATAGAGTTTCAAAAATCCTTGGAGATGTGGCTAAATTGGCTTAATTACTCGGCTGAAAGGTCACGGGTTCCAGTTCAACTCCGTCTGCTTTAGGCTATGCAGCTAAAGTAGTATTATTAGTTCTCGCACGAAGGTATGGCTCTTGGCGTGTTGTTACATATGAAAGATCTGTCCTGAGTAATTGAGTTGAGTTCGAGGTTATATGAAACTCATTAAGGCAAAATAAACCCATGTCGGTGTCAGCCTTAATCAGGTAAAGATTTATAGCTCAAAGTGAGGATTATAACTGTTTAGTGTTCTACAGTATATAATACGTTAATATTCCGAAAAAAAGCAATAGAAATGAACTTCTCAATTCAGCCTTTGAAATCCTAGTGCACTACAAGACTATTGAGTAATATATTATTGAAAAGCGTTTTAGTGTGTGTGTGTGTATATGTTAACATCTGATAAGTGTGGTATAAGATGGAATATAATTCTTTAACCATATCCTGGTTTTCGTTTCTTGTGTTTATTCTTGATTTATTAATGCACTAACTGTTGTGATTTTCTCTACCTTTTAAAAAAATTTGATTTCATTGTTGTAGCTAACTCATCCTGACCCCAGTTTGACTAACCTTCAAACCCCTAATGGCTATGAAACGCCTATGTTCTATGGCAATTCCGAACCACCTGTAGTCGTCGATAAAGGCATCTCTGAAGTAACCATGAAAATGGAAGAGGATACAACTGCCGCTGCTGCTGCTACTCCTACTCATCATCATCAGAAAGACATCCAGCCAGTATTAGAATCGAATAAATCTGATCATCAATTGATACGCTGTTCAGTTCGTTCGTGTCGACGATGGTTTCATCCTAGCTGTCTGCGTAAGCCTCCTTTTGCAATTGTTGTTCGTGAACGACGTGCCGGTGCTTTCTCGTGTCCTGCGCATACATGTTTAGCGTGTACAGCTGAAACACCTGGGACAATGCCACGTCCATCTGCACATTTTATTCGTTGTGTTATGTGTCCCGCCGCTTATCATCCAGGCGAATGGTGTCTACCGGCTGGTAGTAAAGAAGTAGGTGATTTTGTTATATTGTCGCATTTGTTTCAAGTTTTTTTTTACATTATTCAAGTCATTTTGGGTTTATCTACTTCCTAATTCATGATATAAGTATAAAACACTTGGGCACTGTGCTGGTAGAGTATAACTCCCCGTTATGGATAAGATTTTATTTTGATAAAGTGTCACACAGTATTTGTTATACAGTAATATTAACTGATGACCACGTTTCGAGCACAAACTATTGCCACTCATAATCATATTAAGTCAGTTGCACAACTTTTTTCCTTCATTTATATACATGTGTGGAATTGACTAGATATTTAAATAAAAACCAATAAAGGATAATGTACATTCAGAAATAATAATATGAGTGTTATTGATCAATTACAGTCAGATGGGAAATAAGATGAGTGTTTTTATAGTCATAATAAGTAATTTGTTAGAATGTTATGATGTGCTTGAATGGAAATAGAATTTTGAGATTATTTATTATCCTCTTCTGATTTGACCGGCGGGAATAATATCTTCCATATTTCTGGTATTTGGATTGAGTCATTTCTGTTGCATATGTTGGGTGTAGACTCGATGAACAAGGATTCAGTAATCAATCTCTCTCTCTCCACCTACATAGATTACTTCTTAGTATTTTAACCCTCTCACACCCTATTGTGTGGTGGTGTGTTATTGCATGTAGGGCAATGTAGTGCTGAGCTTTTTTCTAAATTACTTATCTTCTCGGGGTCAACCATTCTTACCTTAGCTAAATTCTTATGTTCCGACAATCTGACTACCCTTGACATACTAGTTTGACCTACGTAGTTGACCTCACTCACAGTCATTGCAAGGTATTTTGTAAATTATTAATTATTTTAATTAATCTCAGCTATGTTAAATAACCTAGCTCAGCCATTGCACTGTGTTGCATTCACTTACTTACTTGCAATCACAAAATAGGTTGGGTGGGACAGGATGAGAGTACTATAAAGTAATATAGTTGAGTTAGGTGGAGAGAGTGAGAGAGGTCGCTCACTGAATCACTGTTTATCGTGTCAATAGCGCGCACGTGCAGTCGGAATGACGCAACACTGCCTATACCGGTGATATGGAAAGTGGTAACAAACAACACGAGGAAAAGAGATAGAGAGAAAAATGTATATAAAGCAAATCATGAAGCCGTGTAACTACTCAATCGATATGATTATGAGTGACAATAATTTATGCTGGAAACCTTATCATCTAATTATATTAATATTGCATCACTGTGTCTCATCATTTTATATGGACTTATCTAGTATGGAATTACTTTCTACTACAATGCTCAAATTCTAAAGTAACACTAAAGTTATTGTACTACTATAATAAAGGTTTTCTTGTATTTCTCAATGAATGAATGAAAAGCAAAACGGTATTGTTGTGTTTACTAATGTTTCGCTATTTAATGCTGCTGCTAATAGCTTTGTCAAAGTAGTAATATTAAACCAGAATTCACAAAATCCACTCAGCTTATTTACATATAACAACTTAATCATCGTTCCTAAGCATGGGGGTATTTTTGCGTTGGTGTCAAGTTGGTCACTTGGTAAAGATAACAAAACCAGGTGTTGATTCTTGGAAAAACAGCGTGTGTTTACATAATGAAATTGCTTATGACATTCGTGTTGATTTTGTCTCTTCATGGGAGGAGGAGGCAGGTGTTGTCACCAGGTCAAATTCTGTTTTAGTCCATCATTCCCATTCAACTCAGACAATTTGGATTCCTATTGATAGGAAGGAAGTACTTCTGCTGATATTAGACGTTCTTTGTGATTTCTGAAATACTTTTTCAGGATGATGATTTCAATATTGTTAAAATCAATTATTTTGTGGCCTGATTCTATAGCGTGTAGACCACCACCTATGGCTGGCTGATGATTTTTGAAGCTATTCTAGTTCAACTGGATTTACTTCTCGGTGGTCGAGTAGATGTGGCTCTACGGTGTTCATTTCTTCTGATTTTGATTTCTTGAGATGTACTATTTTTTATAATTGAATTAAGAAGTTATTTTTCCTGAATTAGTACTAACTTGAACTTATGATCAGAATCAAAGAAGAAATACTCATGGATTGCAGTTAATAATCTTATATTATTGGGATAATCGAGATTCAGACAGCAAGCATATGAATGTATTTTGTTGTAGTTGAGTTCTCTCAGCTGGATGGTTTATTTGCGAAGGTTTTTTCTTTAGTAATAATGTCAAACACACAAAAATGTGATTGATTTTTATAGTCCTCAGACAGCCAGACGTCAAAAAACATACAATTTGTCTATTGTCACATGTAAAGGAATGCTGAGTAGCTGTTTTGTGTGTTTTGTATGTTTGTTTCTGTATGAATAATAATAATAATAATAATAATAATAATAATAATAATAATAATAATCACTTTATTCCACAACAATAACAATTTACAGCATGGAATTTTCAGCGTTTCTTTTACATATTGCAATGGTTTAGCTCTGTTTATAATTATATAAGTGTATAAAATGTTAAAATATTGGTAGTTAATAGGAAAAAATAAAAACCCCAACAAAATCACATCATTGCTAGGTCATAGTGAATAATAAATAAATAATATAACAAAAACACATGCAATAATATGCATCATTACATTTTATAGTTTAGTTAATGATTTAAAAGTTGTAAAAGTTCTTTTCTGATATTTGTCTCTTCACACAATACTCGTGCCAAATATGGTACGGTCGAATTTTTATATTTTGTAGCACGAGCATAAATGTTTTTGACAACAGTGTCGGTTAGTTGAGTCAAAGGGATAGCACTGACCCTACTTACAGCCTTCAATGTTCTTCGTAGTATTATATAGTCTTTCTTGAGTAGCCCAGGGAAGAATAATGGAGAACAATAAAGAATGATGGGCAAAACACATGAATTAATAAATTGTATGAGAAGAGATTGGGTTATACCTGAGTGCGTCAACTTCTTTATGTAATAAGTCAGACGGAAAACTTTCTTAGAAACTATAAGAATATGAGACGACCAGCAAAGGTTTGAAGAGAAACTAATGCCAATCAATGAAATCCACAACAGTTAATCTAAGCCACGTAGGAAGATGTAGACTTCCTGGTTGGGGCCCTCGGGATGGTAAAAACCAATGGTTGGAAACAATTGGCGACATGGCTCAAAATCGTTCTCAGTGGCGCAGATGCATCCACTCCTTGTGACTTATCATTTCCAGTTAAACTGTTTTGTTCTCCGTTATTACTATTCCTTTGTCTCACACCTCTGTTTACTGTCTATATTTTGCATTTCTTCTACTTTCTTCTCTTGCTTTGCGTGCTACATGGATTGTGGCGACTTGAACTGCCGCACATATGTGCAAAGTTCTATGTCGAAAACAGACAGACAGACAGAATGCCAATATAAGAAACACTTGACTTGCTCTCTATCATGGTACCATCAATATTACAACAATCATGAGATTGGATCAATCCATGCATGTCTTTTTCACTTCTCAAGCTGAAATCAACAGTATTACATTTAGTTGGATTTAGTTTAAGACCATTTGAGCCAGACCAATCCTTAACTTCAGCTAAGAAGCCATTCATATGGGAACAATCCGATGTGGAAACTACAGGGACAGAAACAGTCAGATCATCAGCATACTTAATGAAGTTAACTTTGGGTGAATTCGGAAGGTCATTGAAAGGATCCCACACACCTTGTTATTGTTCAATTATCTTAACGACTGTTAATCTCGTATAAGCTGTATATCATCAATTCTCACACACTTTGTTATTGTTCAATTATCTTAACGACTGTTAATCTCGTATAAGTTGTATATCATCAATTCTCACACACTTTGTTATCTTAATGACTGTTAATCTCGCATATGTGTTATATTATCATTTCCCAGGCACTTTGTTATTGTTCAATTATCTTAATGACTGTTAATCTCGCATAAGTGGTATATCATCATTCCCACGCATTTTGCTATTGACTATTACGACCAATTATTTCAAATACTGTTAGCTGTCTCTATTGTTTGTAAAATTGTATAAATACCATTTCCTAAATAAGTTTATTAGTCGTCGTTGTCGTTGTTGTGGTCGTTGTCGTCGTCGTAGTCGTAGTTGTTGTACTACAATATAAAGTCAGAGACCAGACTTTGTCTTTTGATATTTGCGTGGTTCGCTGAATCGGAAGGTACCAGAAGCAGATAGGCATATTAGTCAGGCGCAGACAGAACAAGGCGACAACGTTCCTCATTTTAATTCCCGCTACAGTTACAACAAATTGGCGACGCGGTTTATCTCAATTCATTACGGTTATAACAGTCATGCAAAAAGAAAGAGAAAAGAAATGGAGAAAGTACTGCACCTTGAGGCACACCACTTTCAGTTAGCTGAGAAGTGGAGCGCTTTCCATCCAAAACAGTATGCTGCTTCCTATCCTTAAAATAAGAAGACAGCCATGTAGTTGCCCAGGTCTCTGTTTGTGCTGAAATCATCTTTCCTAATAAAAGTGTCCATAGGAACAGAGTCGAAAGCTGCAGTATAGTCTAAAAAGGCTGTTCGAACGAACTTAGCACCCTTATCAAGGTAGGAAGCAATATTGTGGTGTAGTACAATGGCTGCATCTAATGTACTTCTTCCACACATAAGCAAACTGCTTAGGGTCACTAAAAGCTTTTAAAGAAGGTTTAAGAATATTCAAAAGAAGTTTCTCCATAGTTTTCAAAAAAGGAGATGTTATAGCGACCGGTCTAAACTTTATACCTGCTCCAGAAGATGATTTCTGTACAGGTACAACCTTGATTTCTTTCCAGTCAGCAGGTACCGTTTCCTTGTTAAATGCATTGGATGATATGCGACTGATGTGTATGGCATGTATATATTTACAAATCATCAGCCTCGCTGTATCATTCTGTTTTTGTATATATAATTAATGTTTTATCTGCTTTTCAGGTGGCGCCTAACTTAATTATCTGTCCACGTCATTCTTTAGAAAATGAATGTAAACTCTACTGTGCACCGCCTAATATACAACTGGAATTACCGCCAGCTGCACTGTTGAAAATGTTTAAGCCAACTAATGTCTCTTGGTGCTTTATCTGTTCTAAGGGTGGACGTATTATATGCTGTGAAAGTTGTCCAGCATCGTTTCATGAAGAATGTCTTAAAATTGATGAGGTAAGTGTTGATTTTGTCATTTATTGTGTTTGCGTGCGTGTGTGTGTGTAAGGCGTTGGTGGCACAGCGATAGAATGCTCGCCAACTACGCCTCATGTGGTCCGGGATTCGATCCGCGGCCACCGACGCACTGCTTTACCTCGTTAGGCCAGTAATGAGACTGGTGAAGAGGGAAGGTCGGGCTTGGCATGAGGCTAGTAACCCCATCCCATGAAAATAAACACCACTCTTACCGAAACTTCAAGCCTATAGCTTAAAGCCAATCCATGTTCCACTGTGAACGTAAGGGATTAAAAAATGTGTGTGTGAGTGTGTGTGGTGAAAGACGCAGAAGATCTTTGTACATGGAGAGATCGTCTTAAAGGTTGTTATTTTCTCTGGTCTAGTTAATTTCTCTCGTAAATTCTACATTGTCCTTCTGTACAAGATAGTCATCTTGAATTTAGAAGAGAAGTGAGCTATTGGAATTCTCTAAAAAATTGAAACAATTATCTGTTTGAGTAATGCCCAGGCGTACCTCTACTTCACCTCTACAATTTATAATGATTTCAAGTCAAATAAGTAGCGTTGGATTCTAGACGCAACCCAACTTCGGATCAAATTTGCCACTTACAAGTTACATAGTTCAAACACCAAATGTTCCAGGGAATTCCTAGAAGCCTGATACTCAAACGAAAATGCAATTTACAAACAATTAATACAGACGAAATCTACTAACTAATAAGAAGTAAATCAGGTGACCAGAAAGTTTAAAATCCAAGTCAATAGAAAATGGTCAATACATATGTAAAGATGGTTACCGGGAGACGCAATTATATCACTCATGAAGAAATTTAAATCATTCCACTTTATGCTAAATATTGCGCTGAAGGGGGATGTTGTCCAGAAGGACGACTAAAGCTCCGCAACTAAACCGACCAGCTCAGAGAACACTATTAATTGCAAATAGTTCAATCCGGCTGTCAGAGCCGAGTCATACCAGATACATTGCTGATATGAACCCCTACACCAAACAAGCGAAACAATCTGATTACCCCAAGCACTACACTACTCAGTGTGAGTGGTATTCACCTACTCATGTCAATCAATCAATAGTATGTAACATATATAAAGGCCTTCTTTTCAAATTTTGCGTTAATGATATTACTCAGAATGACAATAAAAACTGTACAACTCAATCATTCAAGTTAGGGGATATAATATAGTATGATATTTCCAAGCTAGCGTTTGTGGTTAGTTAATTGGCCGGCCTGTGAATTCTAAAGGGCTTGAGATCGATCCCTTTGAGGTCCCAAAGTACGACCGACTGAACAGTTGTCTAGTTAGTGCTCCTTGGTTTTTAATAATTGTCTAGCACACTTTGGTTATCGATGAAATCTGCTTTGAAATTTCCCCGTATTCCACTGAAAAAGCTGAAGGGAATATTCCGAAGATGGTGTGTCTGTGTGTGTGTGTGTGTGTGTAGGCGACGCAGGTTAGAGTATGCATCTACTCAATGCTAGTCAGTTTATACAGTGATAGACTAAGTATGACAGTGATGATTTAATGCTCCACAGAATTGTTTACATGAGGATTCTGTGTTCTTTCCTAACCTTTTGGGTATTATTTGAGCAGAGACAGAACGAATATTGGTGTAGCAGAATAACATGGATCCACTTTATCTCGTCGATCCTCATCAGCTGCATGCAACCTATACTCTTTAATAAATAAAAGTCAGTGTTAAATTTCAACATACTTTTCTCTATCAACAAGCATATTATAAGAGTGTCATGGTGAGATAAAACATCAGAATGACAAGGTAACTGGTGTAAGCATATATGTATGTATATATATATATATATATTGTTGGAGAGAAGTTTCTAGAAAATTAATTGACAAAGGCTATCTCAATAAAACGGCTGAAACTTGACCTATTTGTGCAAAAGGAATCTGTTGTTGGACTCCAATTACCCTGGTGAATCGTTCTGTAATAACTCTTTGTTTTCTAATTCCACTATTTTGTCCTTTCAACCCCCCTTTTTTCTGTTTGACTTCCATAAGAAGTAATTCTTCTTTACCTTATGAGTTTTACTCACCATATTACATCACCATCATCTTTTCACTTGACCTTTTGCGCACCAAATTTTGACCTTCTCTTATCGAACTACATAAGTGTTACTATTTTTTTACCACCCTAGCAGCAGATTTATCAATTAATTTTCGAGAAACTTCTCCCTAACAAGATATATGTTTATATATTCACACTGAAATACCTCAGCCATCTTATCATCCTGATGTTTTTATCTCACTAAGTTTGTTGATAGGCAAAAGTATGTTAAATTTTACGCTGACTTTTATTTATTAAAGATTGTAGGTTGTACACAGCTGATGAGAAACAACGATATAAAGTGGATCCAATGTTTATTCTTTCTGTGTTCAAATTTATATAAAAGGTAATTCTTGTATGATATTATTATAGTATTGTTCGCTTGGTTTCCCAGGGGAACATAAGGCTTCAATAGCACATCTTTACTTTGTTCTATTCTCTACGATCCTCTTTTAGTTGGCCCTCCGATTGCTCAGAGTATCTTATCTTCTCCTTCTCCCACGATCTCCTGCATGTCACTCTTAGACACAGGCCGAAATCGTCGTTACCCATTCGTGTTCCAGTCAAGCGAGTTCCTGGCATGCGGTTTCATTCGAAGGTTTCTTCACACTGTTCATTGATCAGTAGGTTCTTGTTCGAACTGTTCCCCGAGTTTCTTGTTGCTAGTTCTTTCTTGTCATTTGATTTTCAGTGTAGAGCTAGTAAAGGCAGCTATTGATGAAGGTCTGCTACTGGCGTTCGGGGATGCTTTTCTTGATGCAAGCGCCAAGTTCCTAAACTATGTAGAACAACTGATTCAACTTTTGTGTCAACACACAATGAAAATCCGAAATTTTCCTTTATACTGGGTGTAGATTTCTAAACTGACCTCAGAGTGATAAGGGTCTGACTTACCTTTCCGATTCTGGTTTGGCATCCTCATCAGTGCTGAAGATATTTGAGAAGATGCTTCATAGATAAGTGAAGGAATTAACGTCTTTCAAATTTCTTCCGTTGATAGTGATTAGTGTATGTTGTTGTTGTTGTCGGTTGGTTATCTTCTTCACCTCCCTATGTTCACCTGGAGTCCTGTTTTCGCCGCCTGCCTCTCCTGCCACTTTGTTGGTATTTGCCTGTAATTCTTCGAGTTTGTGTGACATTAAACATAAATCATCCACACGCGAAATCCAGATCTTCTCGAGTCTTCTTACCGATCCCCAGTGTATTCCTGTCTTCTCGCTCCCCACGCACTATGTTCCGCATAGTCCAGTCCACCACAACTGGGAATATCATCAGTGATAATAGGCAGGCAGCCTTGTCTTACTCCTGTATTCCTTTTAAAAACTTCTCTGAGTTTTCCGTTATGGATCATCTGAAATGTGGAATTGTCATTATAGAACTTTTGGGTGTCCTATTATTAAATATATGTGCTGCAAGTAAGTTGAACTATGGGTGCTCATCTCACAAAATTACGGTCTACCTAAAAACACACAAAATGACAACAGTGAAGAATAGACACCAAAGTCGAATGACCTTGAACTAATCAATCAGATCGCTCAGCATTGTCTGTCTGTTTTCAACACAGAACTTTGCACCCATGTGCAGCAGTTCAATTCGCCACTCTCCCTCCATGTAGCACATAAAGCAAGAGAAGAAAGTGGGAGAAATGCATATTAGAGACAGTAAACAGAGGTGTGAAACAAAGGAATAGTAATAACGAAAACAATATAGTTTCATTGGGTATTATAAGTCACAAGGATTGGATGCATCTGCGCCAGCCATTGAGAACAAGGATTTTGAGCCACATCAACAATTGGCTCCGGCCGAGGACCCCAACCAGTCAGGAAGTCTACACCTCCCTACATGGCTGGCTTAAACTAACTGTTGCGGATTTCATTGACTAGTGAAGCCATGTTTTGGTTTGACCACCGCTAGCTCTTTTCCAACCAGATTCATTCTGTGTCAGCTAACATTGCCCGTAGGTTAAGGAAGGCGATGGCTAGGCATACGTAACACATGTTTTAACCATCTCAGTTAATATAGCTTCATAGTCTTGTCGATTGATTCCCCCTCCTTATCTAGCACTCGACCGAAGCCTAGTCTCAATATTGCTCACCCTATTATACCACTTCACACGGGAGATAGAACGCAGGTACTTATGATCAAAGATATCAAAGAGCATCAGTTTGTAATCGCTCAGCATTAGAAAGTGATGCTATTCATAATCTTCGTTGCAACTTTTACCCTAACCTTAGTGTCATAAACCGACCTTAATCGTAACCCTAACCTCAACTCTGAATCAGGATGAAACTCACAACGGAGATTATGAAAAGCATCAATTTGTAATATTGAGCGATCTGATTGATTGGTTCAGTGTTATTTAACTTTGGTGGCTGTTCCTTACAGTTGCTAACAGAAGCAATATATTTCTTAAACATCCTGTTTTTTATATTCAATACGTAAATTGTGTAGTAGTGACCACTTTAAAACTGTCTGGTCAGGTGCCGATTTTGTTTGAAAGATAGATATCTGTAGGTTAAAGAGTGAAAGAAGACTAGTATTTATTATTTGAATTAAAAAATTTGCAAGATTTCGTCATGAGCGGACATTGGTTGAAGAACCCCGGTGATGCGTACTCCTGAAGAGTCAAAAACTAGGACGAAACAGCTGTCCAGTACTCCCTAGTTGGTTTTCCAATGGTTCTTTAACTGATATCAGCTCATAATGAAATCCTGTAACCAATCAAATCCCTACAAACCAACACTTGAATAAAAAATTGCTTTTCTGATGTTTGCTAATTTTGTTTTCCGTCGCCTTTCCTCTTTCTCTCACTTCCTCTCCCATTCTGAGCATTTGTATGCATTGGTTGTATTGTGTTGTTGTAGAATAGTGCGACGTTAATTCTCTTAATATTGTTTCAAGTTAATTTGCCTTTCCTGTTGATTGATTATATTGACCGGAGATGCTCCGTCTCTGGTGACATGTCTGCTCGTAGAACGGACGACGTTTCAACGTTTGCTTGAGATTCATATGATGTTATTTTAGTTAGTGTAGTGATTAACAATGGGATCCAGGAGTCGCATTTTATCCTATGTTTGAGGTACATCATGTGGATGTACCTGCATCTCCCCCCCCCTCGAACTTGGCACCTGTAGTTTCAATCCACTAGACCACAAGAGTCATGCACCTGTGCAACAGGTATCAACGTGTTATTTGTTGACGTTGTGCAATGATGGGTTCGAGTGTCCCTAGGAATACCATCACTTTCTGGAAAGGCTACAGGTGTACTCTCAGCTAACTTAGGATATTAACCGCAAAATATGTATTGATACTTTGAAAAATTGATCATTTATGTGTTTTTTTCCATCAATATTCTTTCGTAGAAGGTCGATTGGAATTATTAAGTATACTTGAATAGACTTTGATTTACAATCGATCTAGTATGTTCAAGTATGGGTTTTGTAGGGATTTTGTTTGATTGCATGGAGGATTTCATCATGAGCTGATATCAGTTAGGCACCCACTGGAAAACCTGAGAGTACTGGACAGCTGTTTCGTCCTAGTTTGGGAACCCGCTTCACCAATACGCACCCACCGGGATTCGATGAAACAGCTGTCCAGTACTCCCAGGTTTTCCAGTGGTTCTTTAACTGATGTCAGCTCATGATGAAATCCTCCATGCAATCAAACAAAATCCCTACAAAACCAATACTTGAAAATTAATCTGATGCCCACTAGTGACTGGCCATATTCAGGCAGTTAACCTGGGGTTCTAGTGGGAAGCCGTGACCAGTAGGATACAGCAGGTTGAAGATGAGGCAGTAACTCATCGAATAAGAGATTGCTAAATGGTCGAGCTATGTCGTGAATTGGTAGAAGTTAGAATTCGAAGACCATTGGATCGGGTCCCAGTGGCTCAATGGTCTACGAGCTTGCTGGCCTTGTAACCAGGTCTTGGGTTGGAACCCTGCTGGTGGGTGCGTACTGATGAAGAGTCCCAAACTAGGCTGATGAAACAGCCGTCCAGTACTCCCAGGTTTTCCAGTGGTTTTCTAACTGATGTCAGCTTATGATGAAATCCTTCATGCGATTTAGTATGTATCAATATATACATTTTAATCATCTATGGAATTTTTATTTTTTAAAATTTCTATTGCTTTACGTTCCGAATGGAGTATAAGACTTCAAGCTAGAGCTTTGAAGCTTCGGTAGCAGTGGATTTTTCTTTATTTTCACTGGGTCTGGTTGCCAGTCTCATGCCAAAACTTCCCTCTTTACTGGCCCCATTGTGGGCTTAGCGAGGTTTAGGAGTGCGTTGAACCGGGATCGAATCGCGGACCACATGTATGTGGATGGCGAACATTCTACCGCCGAACCACCACTGACTCACTATTAATAGAATATAATGTAGCTAAATAAACGATAGTGGTCTACGAGTTCGCCTTGTAACCAAAAGGTCTTGAGTTCGAACCCCGGTGAGTGGTCGAGTACTGTTGGAGAGTCCGAAACTGAGACGAAACAGCAGGCTATCCAGCACTCCCAGCTGGTTTTCGAATGGTTCTCTAGGCCATTATCAGCTCATAATGAAATCCTGTCCAGTAATCAATCAATGAAATCCCTACAAATCAATACTTGAATAACAATTGTTATTTGTTCATTGTATTTAGGTACCAGATAAATTTATCTGTGAAGATTGTACAAATGGTCGAATGTTACGTTATGGTGAGATTGTATGGGCACGTTTACCACCAAGTCTCCAGTCATATCATCAACGTTGTTTAAAATTATCTGTTGCATATAATTCCCATCGTTTACCGGGAGTATTTCGTCCTAATGAATATGCCTCGCTTACATCTGGTATGTATTGGTGGCCAGGAGAATTAGTTCATCCACAACATTTACCAACAAGTCAACATTCTGTAAAAGATGATAGCCATAATAACAACAGTCAAACATTTGCAATTAATTTTCAACCAACAAGTAATCCAACATTGCCTACATCTAATAATATCCTCGGTTCAGTATTTGTTCGTTTATACGGTCTGACGAATAGTCTTTCAACGAAACATTCACGTCCTGTTTATTTATTGACAACACGGGCTAGATTATTTCCATATGAAGAAGGTGATGATAAACGAAGAGGAAGTAGTTCTAGGTAAGCTTTAATGCTAAGTGATGAGTTTTTTGTTTTGTGTTTTCTGAAGTTTTTCTGTTTTTTTCTCCCCTACTAATTGATAAATAGTCATTGTAGTCGCGATTGGTGTTATATTATCATTATTGTTCCCTTGGGTTCCTAGTGGAACATGCTTCTGTCTTCTGCTGTACTTTTCACCTGCATCCATGTTAGTCCATACTGTTTCAACTCCTCTTCATACGACCTCCTCCATGTCACCCTTGGACGTCCCACTCGCCGCTTTACTTTCGGGTTCCACTCGAGCTATGGCCTGACGCACGATGTCACCCAACGGCCTCCTCAGCGAGTGTCCAATCCATCTCCACTTTCTCCTGCATATTTGTTGGGCGATTGGTTTTTGTTTTGTTTGTTCCCGTAGTTTCTTGTTGGTGATTTTTTCCCGGCCATCTGATCTTCAGTATAGAGCGAAGACAGTTGTTGCCTAGATAACTAGCTCGCTAGTTTTCTAGCCGGTTCCAAGCCCGGATAAAGAGGGAGGGTTGGGGCATGGGGCAAGCAACTCCACCCCCAAAACTTAACCAAATTGCTACAGAAACTTCAACGGGATTGGTGTTGCTGAAGCAATTTTTGATACAAGTCATATCCTATTTAGTATTTCTAATTTATGGGCACGAAGATATGTGCCACTCGAAAACTCACAGTTTGTACGAGAACTAGGTTACTGCCCGGAAGTCTAGCCAGGCTTTAATTTGAAGTCTGATCTCCACACACATGGCTGTGCAGCACCGTCAGGAGCTACGTTCCTATGGTTTTTCGGAGGCCATGTACACCATAGGTCTCGAATCAGGGTTTCCACCCCTCCTTTTGGCAGACCTGCATATTCATCAATCTGTCTAACTAACTGTAGAAGAAAAGTACTAACTGTAGTAAGGGAATAAGTTGATGAAGGTGATGTGGGTAGAGGAGAATGATGCTCAGGAAGGTTTCGTGTGCTTTTGGAAGTGTGTGGGCGGTTGTTACTTCCCGGCTGCCCACACCGTGGAAGTTGATTGATTCTTCGGGTACCTGAAACAAGAGAGAGAGGGTTAGTGTTGCGTGACCGCAGAGCCCAGGGGACAACTGCTTGAGGCCGGTCACACACGGCCTGTATGAACTGGTTTCTTGGTTTGGTTCCGTATTAGTAAACTTACCGCCGGTTACGGACCACCGTAGGGTAAGTCGGGATGTACAATTTTTGGGGTCGACCTTTTCTAACCCCCTCTCTCCGGAGTGGAGAGACAGCATAGCTGGCTGGCATGCTGGTCATCTGAGGGAAACACCTCACTGCTGTTACATCCCTGTTCCCCAGCAGTACGACTTCGCCCTCAGACCCCCAGCATAGTGTAAGAAAGATTCTTACACAATGCCGGTAACTGCTTTTAGTCTAATCGCTATCCTAACAACCTTCCTGGCATGGTAGGACCTGCAGGAACATTGGTTCCAGCCAGTGTAGCTTGTTGGGTCATCGCGATGTGCAAGCCCGACCACCACGTCAAGGTAGCAGCTATCGGTCAGGATTCATCAATCTGGTTACAAGGGACAGACATTCACATTCGCCCTTTTAACTCATGTGAAGAACACGTGAGTCGTCGTGTGAAAGCAGTGTACACGGGACTTATCTGTTAGAGGTTGTGAACGCGTAGTGACGTGAGTGTGCATTTCTAGAGGAAGCCCAAGGTCTAGTCATCTTCTACCATATCAAGTCATCATAGGGAATATTTCTGCAGAGTGGACTGAAGACTAAACAAGTATTTTATTATTAATTATTTTCAGTAACTCATAATTTTCACATAAATCAAAATCAGTATCCTTAGTCCTATTTGTTTTGATTTCATTTGATGAATCCAGTATTTCACGGATAATAAGTTATACAAGTTTACAGTTAATAACTCAATACTTCACTCTGCTCTGCATGCATTGTTCCCGATTTCATAAATGCTTGAGTCACTGCATTCAAAGCATTACAGGTGATACACATAATTTGTACATTGTAGTGGTATGTGTGACCCAGAAACAGCAGCGTACTTGATGACACCACTACTGGAGAAGGTGTGGAAGGAAAGAGGGCAAGGTATCTGTGGATTGGAAGAATGGCTACTTATTCAAACTGCTAAAAAAAGGAGATTTAAGTCAATGCAAGAACTGGCGCAGCGTTATGCTCCTATCTATCCCAAGTAAAATACTAAGCCGCATCATCCTGGAGAGAATCAAACACGTCGACCTGGATGAAAAACTTCGACCGGAACAGGCTGGATTCAAGAGAAACAAGTCATGCATTGATCAGATAGCCACATTACGGATCATCATTGAACAAAGCTTGGAATGGCAGTCAGTCAGCTCTCTATCTCAACTTCATTGACTTGGAAAAGGCCTTCGACAGCGCAGCGTCGATCGATAGGTGATATGGCAGCTATGCTACTATGGGGTGTCGCCGACAATTATACATCTCATCCAACAGTTGTGTGATAATGCTGCATGCCAAGTAATCCATATCGAGAAACTCACGGAATCCTTCGAAGTGAAGACGGGAGTAAAACCAGCTGGCTGCCTACTATCTCCAGTGATTTTCATTACTGTGGTAGATTGGATAATGCGACAGACAGGGGGCAACGAGGAGATAGACATAAAATGGATCCATACAAAAAACTTGGAGGATCTGAACTTATCCGATGTTATATGTCTGATTTCCCACAAACTGGAAGATATGCAAGTGAAAAGCAGCAAGTTGGCAGAAAGGGCATCCAGCGAAGCTATGACTTCGGGTGAGCCTAGGGAAAAAGAGGTGATAAAAACTCTTGGCTAACAGCAACAGTGACGACAACAGGCAACAATCAGCATACATGCAACATGCAAATAAACATCCCGCTGCCAAGTTTCTTGTCTTATCCTGTTACAGTATGTGTTTCCCAACAGATAACTGCTATACCTTGACTTGGTGGTCAGGCTTGCATACTACAGTGACCCAACAAGCTACACTGGATAGAACTTGTACTCCATGCTAGTATGATTGTTTGGAGGTGGCGGTAAGACAGTATGAAAAGAGTTACTTTTTGGTGGCATGTGAACTTGTATTAGTCACCGGTATCCATAGGGACGTCACTGTTTAATTGCTGCTCCTCTGCCCTGTTGTTGTAAATGTGACTTCAAGTCAAAGGCTCGGTGGGGGTGAGTTGGTGGTCCCTTAAGATGACCACATGCTCCGGTTCGAGCACCCATGCAGTGTCTATAACCCTCTCACTAACTAATTATTGTGTATGCTGCACATATGCGCTGGGTTCTATATGGAAACCAGTCAGTATGTGTTTATAATTCAAATTTTCGTTAGGTCGTTAGAAAAGGAGTTGTATACACGTATTATTGGTTTCTTATATCCTTTTTTCTCTCTCCATCTCTTAAGCTCAAGTGATGACGACGATGAATCTACTGAATCTGGACGTGGTGAAGAAAGTGACATTGTCAAGAAAAAGGCCACTTCATCATCAAAACAACGGGCTGATCGTAATCGTCGTAAAAAGCAGGATGATGGTGAAGATGAAGATCCATTGTTAGAATTGAATCCCAGTAATTTTCTTGTTGAAGATAGTACTAATACTACTAGGAATAATAATAATAACATTAATAAAACACCCGAATCAGGTAATACTTCATTAGAATCATCCAATACTACTACATCAGCTAACAAGTTAACAACTTATAATCGTTTACCACGTTATCCATATTTAAGACCACGTAGAAATCGATATTTAAATGATGAGAATTCAAGTAATTGTAATAATACAGGACTTCTGTCTAATCAACGTACCCCACCATCTGTGATTCGACGTAGAAAATTTATTTATAATGCTGCAATCAAACAAGCTGCTCGGGGTTGGCTTAAAAGACGTGAAAAATTCTCCAAGCTATTAGGCAGAAAACGACGTCCTGATTATTATAAACCAATTAAAGTAAGTTGGATTGTGGTTTTTTGTGTGTTTTTATTGTTGTTATTGCTCTTGTTCTTTTTGTTGTCGGCGTTTAAATCAGAGCATATTCTTGTCATTCTGGAAGATGGTATAAACTATTCAAGTATTGGTTTGTAGGGATTTGGTTGATTGGTTACAGGATTTCTTCATGAGCTGACATTGATTAGAAAACCATTGGAAAACCAGCTAGGGATTACTGAACAGCTGTTTCGTCAGTTCAGTTTGGGACTCCGCTTCAGCGGTACGCACCCACCCACCGACAGGGTTCGAACCCAGGAACTTCCGGTTACAAGGCGAGCTAGGTCGTTGACCATCACACCACTGTGATCCGATCCAATGACCACCCTATGAATTCTAACTTCTGCCAATTCACGATGTAGCGTGACCACTAGTCAATGTCATCCCTGGTGAGTATTTGTCCTCACACTCGACCTGTGGCACTCTACTGGTCACGACTTCCCACTAGAACCTCAGGTAACTACCTGGGTCAGCTCATGATGAAATCCTGTGACCAATGGTATAAAGTAGTTTTGTCTTTCTCATTATGTGTGTACATAGAATTTATTTTTTGTGGTTCAAAGTCATTAGTTCCTAATAAGGTCAAGTGATAAAGTAGTATGATGATTCAGAAGGGTGGACGCACCAATCATCTTGAATGTATACTAGTCGTTGTCGTTGGATAACGAATGGAATCTGTCATTATTATACAGCGCCAATATCAACGCTATTCAGGAGAAAGTTTCATCCCTGTCACGTTTTTAAGTAGTGTTCAGACAATGGGGTGACAGCATGGTAGCCGTGTATGCAATTGTGGTGCTTCTGTGTACATTTACTGCTTTTCAGAAGCAGGTGATGGACATGTATATTTAGGTAGTACACAGTTTAGGAAACGAGATTCAGTGTTCGTCGTAATGATGGTAGATTACACACTCAGTTCATCAATGTTTTCTACAAACTTTCTTCTCTTAGTCAAAATTACCGCTGATCAATATACTTCTTATACATTAGATGGTTGGAGGCAATAGGCAATCAAAAGTATCTAATATGGTCCTACATGAGGTCAATCACGAGCCCAAATAGCTCAGTAGTAACGTCTCTGACTGCAGTACTCACTGGGTGACACGGGTTTGAATCACAGAAGGGACGTGAGTTCCTTCGAGGTTGTAGATACGCCTTGCTGACTGGTGAGTGCCAACAAGCACGAAACCTAGATCTGACATGGCATCCTGGCGATTGCCTCCAACCATCTAAGAACAACAATCGTGAGTGTACTATGACGGCTAGCCACGTAGTGGGGCATGCTGGCCACATTGCAAACGTGACTGATAGAATTCAGTCTGCTGTAAATAAAAGACGAGACACATGACAATAGTTAGTGTCCAATCAGAAGTATACTCCTTATCTGCCATTATTGGATATTAAGGACTGGAGTATGAAATCAGAGGTTGCAGAGATGTCGAATTCCTTAGTATCTCTTGTGATTCCAACATTTCTGAGACATAGGAGCATTCTGGAAGATGAATACTTTCACTCAGCTGTTAGGCCGAGTTAGTGTTATTCTTCACATAGATGAAACAGTTCTCATAAATAAGAAGTATAACCATGATCACCCTTGAGCAAATAACGTTTGGGTATTTGGTATTTACAACACGAAACTTCAGAAGTGAAATGTGGAGGTAATTCGAAGTCGTAGTGCAGACATTCTTCTACCAATTTTACAAAGATTAGTCATTCCTGGAGAATGGGTGGATGCAATAGCCTATTACATATAGCATTTATCCATCATCGCGTGGAGCATTCTGACGATCTCGTCGACTCCCTTATTTGAGACCTATACCTATTTAATCGAGGGTTTCTAGAGTATATTGAAAAATCGGATAAGAGCAATCAATGGGTCACAAAAGGGACTCATTTTCAATCATCTTGATGGATACATGTATATAGGAACTGATTCAACTTAAAAATTGAGACTCCTCGCCGCAGTTGGGGAGATGTTTTCAAGTCATATCAGGGAAAAATACCCTGTCTAATGTGTTTTTTTCCGTGTAAATCAACGTATTTTTTTCTTCTGATTGGTCAGCTCAAGTTCACTCGTGTGTGTTCACATTCCATGGATCGTGGTTATTTGACTTTGCCCCCCGCAGTTGTATAAATAAGTCTTTTTAAAGTCCTTGAATGCCTGTAATATGACTAATTGGAAGTTATTCACACCAACCAGTAGTAGTATACTTGTCAAACAAATTGAGACGATATAAATATTTGAGAGTGGAGCTACCTGTATTCGCAACCATCGAGTTCATTAGTGGTGTACTCTGAATCACTTCTTGCTGGCGAGAACTGGTTATACCTTGAGTCAAATTATCAAAATTAAAAGTTACAAAACTGTCTAATCATCTTGATGTTCATCATAAATGACAATCGGAACTGCATTATAGTAGCGTTCTACTGATTGATACAGGATAGAATAATACCAAAAGTTATAATCTAGGTTTGATTCTGTTGATAGTGGTTAGCTAATGGTAGAATCCAGAATAAGTAGTTCGTCCTATTTTAGATTCATCAACTAGGTGTATCTGCATCCCTCAATGAGTGTTGAATTATACATCCAGTACACCTATCATTCATTTCTCAAGCGCTAAAGAGTTATCAACACTGAGTCGTAAGGGCAAGCGTTACTTGTGCAACAAGGATCAGTTACAATTTGTTGATAGTGGATGAAGGATTTCATCATGAGCTGACCTCAGTTAGAGAACTATTGGAAAACCAACTAGGGAGTACTGGACAGCTGTTTCGTCAGTCCAGTTTGGGACTCCGCTTCCGCTGTACGCACTCACCCACCAACCGAAAGTGTTCGAACCCAGGAACTTCTGGTTACAAGGCGAGCTAGCTCGTAGACCATTGATCCACTGTGATCCGATCCAATGGCCAGCCCATGAATTCTAACTTCTGCCGATTTACAACATAGCGCTACCACTTCGCAATGTCTTCTTCGATGAGTTACTACCTCATCACTTTCAACCTGCTGCACCCTGCTGGTCATGGCTTCCCACTAGAACCCCAGGTTAACTACCTGAATAGGGCAAGTCGCTAATGAGCATCAGATGAATTTTCGAGTATTGGTTTTTATATATATATATATATATATAAAGAGGTCAACACATTTTAAGGCAATAGTTGCAGCAGAGGTAGGAGTGTTTATCTTCCTCAAATCTGGATTTAGCTTACATGAAATAATTCCAATGGACAACTCTTCGTCCCATTGTTTAACGTTGAGCCAATCGCCAACCAATCAGGACAGTTTATTGTCAGCTGATCTAGCCTACTTTTAATGTGGCTAAAAATCTGTAAGTATGATGGTCTTTGCCTTATTTTTTGGATAAAAGCCTGTTGCCAATTCTCTTGTCTTCTGCCGTTACATTTCTTTTTTGGCGGCGTTGGCTTCAACTCAGTATGCCTTGATCTCTCATTCCATTTGAGAGGTTTGATCAGATTGTGTTTTCAGGACTTTGAAGGATTCCTCAAATGAAACTAAGCGTCTTGAGTTCACGAGGTGTTTGTTCTGTTATTGAAAGATAGAAGTTTCTCATCCCTTTGTCATAAATTTTTCAAATGTACAACCTAGTTGGTGACTTTGTTCAAGATTTCGATGCAACCGGGTTTTTTTCTTTTCTTTTCTTTGTCTTTCCCATAACTCACATTCTGTTTTCTTTCCCCCTCTTTCAATTACACAGGTGAATTGGCCAATTGGCTCTGTTCGTGTCTATCGTCTTACTGATTCAAGTGAAGCTCTACGTTGTGATTGTATTAAGGATTCAGAAGATCCATGTGGACCAACTAGTAATTGTATAAATCGTGAATTACACTATGAATGTCTGCCTAGTGCATGTCCAAATGGAGAAGCATGTCGTAATCAACGGTTCACAAAACGTCTTTATCCACCTCAACAACCATTTTGGACAGGTGATGAACGCGGCTGGGGATTAAAAACCATGGTGCCAATTCGTGCGGTATGTTTTTTTTTAAAGTTAAAACTATTTTTTTAAAATTATATCTTTAGTTTCATGTATACACATCGATGTTATAAGAATTACTGTCGTTTTGATGAATAATTTAAATACTTGTTGTCATAGCGACAGGTTCTCTAGTGATTTATCATACAATTATATTCATATTTTAAAGAGCTTGCATTAGCCTCCTTTGGTGCATCCCCTTCCTCTTGTGTCAAATGTAAGTTGATGGATGCTACAGGACTGGAGTGCATCAATTCACTCGTAGTTTAAAGATACAGAGGGGAGTGAAGTGGTTGGTGTGGAGTGTGTTGACCTCTTCACTTAATTGGAGAAGTTGCATCAGCCCCAACGGGTTGGTTGTTGATGAAATCTCAGCATAGATACAAAAGACTCGTGTGGCATTCGCCAGTATGCATCATCTGTGGCGTAGACGTGATGATATGTGGTGGTTGGCTATTATATCGATCAAAGGAAGTGTGCAGGTCGATCCATCCTCTTCCTTTATGACTGTGAGTGAGACACGGTCATTGCAAATGGAAGTCATGAAAACGCTGGCTAGTTTGTCTTTGATCGTTATAAGTGTCTGCATTCAATGTCTCCTATTAGGTAGTGGTATAATAGGATGGGGGAATATCGAAGGTTATTCATTGACAGTTATTAGGTAAGTAGGGGAAATCAGTCGATGAGGTTGTGAAGTTACATCGATTGAGACGGCTAAGATACGTGTTATGGATGCCTAACCTGGCCATCGCCTTCTGCGACAACAGGTAGTATTAGCTGACATGGCATGGATTAGGTTGGAAGAGAGCTAGTAGTGGTCAAACCGAAACCTGACTTTATCAGTCAATGAAATCCACAACTGTTAGTTTAAGCCAACCAGCCATGTAGGGAGGTGTAGCCTTCCTGACTAGTTGGGGTCCTTGGGACGGTAAAAACCAAGGGTTGGAAACAATTGGTGATATGGCTCAAAATCTTTCTCGATGGCTGTCGCAGATGCATCCACTCCTTGTGACTTATGATTTCCAATGAAACTTTTGTTCTCCGTTATTACTATTCCTTTGTCTCACACCTCTGCCTACTGACTATATTATACATTTCTTCTCTTGCTTTGTGTTGTACATGGAGGGACAGTGGCGAATTGAACTGCCGCACATCGGTGCAAAGTTCTATGTCGAAAACAGACAGATGGCAGATATTCCTGTGGTGATTGATAACACACATTTGTAATATTTGGGATTGTGATCACAGTATTTCTTTATACACGTAATAAAAAATTCGCATGTAACTGTGCATAGCACTAAAAAAACTACCTGAGGAAATTCAAATTGTAACTGACTGCTTCTTTTCTATCCCCTATTAGGGAGAGTGGGAATGAAAGCGTGGTAAATTTGTTTCGGCGATTACTTATACACACCTACCCCGTGAATTAAATCTAGTTGTTTTTGCATAGAAACGGAGATATAAATGTGTTGAGCAGGAAAGGCCGCCTACGTCGACGGCATAGTGAATTGGTAAAAGGTTACGGATACTTCAGTAATTGCCTATGAGAATGACATTTTATTTCTGACTTGTTAAACGCAAGTAATACGCATGGATTCTAGAGGTTTTTCTAAGGGTTAATAGCTAGATATAGCGGAATTATACGGCTTAAAGATGGTTGCAATGATCATTCCAATAATTTCTGTTTAGTTGGAAGATGGTTATCTGTGATATTGAGTGGGAGGCTGTGAATACGACTAAGGGCTGGCCATGGGGTTCGAACCTAGTGGCCAAACAGTCGACGAAAGATATGGGTTTTCCTTTTTGGCAGGGTCATCAGTAGTACGTGAAGCTTAAGAGAACCCCAAACAATGACGAAATAGTTGTCAAATACTGATTTTTTTTTAATGGTTCTACAACTTAGATCAGTTTATGATCGAACATCAAAATCCGGTTCATCTCAGTTATTTCTGTTTATGTTTCAGACAGTTTTTATAGCTTACAATTCTGTAAGTGTGTTTGTATGGAAGGAGGGCATGCCTGTTGTGATAACTTTCTGAAGAGTCCCAAACTAGGTGGACGAAACAGCTGTCCCTTACTCCCAGGTTTTCCAATGGTTCTCTAACCAATGTCAGCTCATCACGATGAAATCCTGTAACTTTCATCTGATTTTCGTCGATATAAATTCCCACCTAACAGTAATAATAATAATAATTCCAATGAAATTCTTTTTGTTTTTCTTTCCCTTTTCTTAAAAAACAAATTTCTAATTCCAGGGAGAATTTGTTAATGAATACATTGGTGATTTAATTGATGAAGATGAAGCGAATCGACGTTTAAGATTTGCTCATGAAAATAATATAACTAATTATTATATGATGAAATTAGATAGTCAACGTATTATTGATGCTGGACCTAAGGGTAATCTATCCCGTTTCATGAATCACTCGTGTGATCCTAATTTGAATACACAAAAATGGACTGTAAATGGTGATAATAGAATTGGATTATTTGCTGTCAGGTTAGTGGTATTTTGTCATTATAATGATGATTATGATTATTTGTGTATTCCTTATTATAATATTATTCCTTATTATAATATTGTGGTGAGAGCTGTCTACTAGTCAATTGGTTGACAGTAATTGAGGTCAATGTTTATGTATCAAATATTAGTCATGTTGTGGTGAGAGATGGTTGCTAGCCAAATTGGTTGACAGTAATTAAGGTCAAGGTCAAAATGGACAGGCGGATACAGTAAACATATAGATGAACTCACACAGCCACAAGAGATGCAAGGTTAACTTTGTGTGAGAAACAACCAATCAACAGACTGTATTTTCTACTAACATTAACCTACAATAATGTACATCAAAATCTATAAATATGTGTTGATTTTCCGTAATAAACGTTCTGTTGCCTGGCCCTTGTCTTCTGTTGTTACAATATTATTATTGTTCCCTTGGGTTCCTAGTGGAACATATGGCTTCAACTGCACTTCTCCACTTGCTTCTGTCTTCTGCTGTACTTTTTACTTGCATCCATGTTAGTCCATGCTATTTCAACTCCTCCATGTCACTCTTGGACGTCACACTCGCCGCTTCCCTTTCGAGTTCCACTCGAGCATTGGCCTGTCACGCGATATCACCCAGCGGCCTCCTCAGCGAGTGTCCAATCCATCTCCACTTTCTCCTGCATATTTGTTGGGCGATTGGTTCTTGTTTTTTTTTCTGTTCGCATAGTTTCTTGTTGGTGATTCTTTCCGGCCATCTGATCTTCAGTATAGAATGAAGACAGTTGTTGATAAAGGTCTGCAACAGGCTGTTGGAAATATTCTTTGTGACCCGCCACGTTTCTGATCCGTATAGAAGAAGTGACTTGACGTTTTTATTGAAAATCCGAATTTTGTTGTTGAATGTTGCTGAGTGACGAAGATTTCCAGATTGGTTGATGATGATTATGATTATTTGTGTATTTTCAACCCTTATAAATGCCGTGTGGAACATTCCAAGTTCCACTGAGTATCGGCATTATTTCTATTGGCCTCATAGACAATCTTTTTCCTCCCTTTTCCGGCTAATAGACCTAGGAGAAGTTTGAATATGTTCAGGTTGAGAATCTAACCTGCTGGTTTGGTACCCATTCCTTCTGGCTTCCCGTTTGATCTCCTGTGTCGAATTAGCATAGGCAGCTGTTGATAAAGCCAGCCGACTAAATCAAAGGCCCACAAGGAAAACACAAAGAAAATCGTCTTATCATATATACATATAAAGAACGTCTCTGAAATCACTGCAATACTCTTCAAACCTTTAGGAATTGATATTGCCGCATATAAACCAACAAAATCACTTCACACTCAGCTCTTTGTCAAGCAAAAGACTCAATGGCGAAAAAAGTTAAGACCAACATCATCTACAAAATAAATTGCGCAACGACTGCGAAAAATATTACATTGGCCAAAGTGGATGTCCTATTCGTCTTCTCATCCATGAACACAAACTAGTCGTCTAAAGACATGATATCCACTCCCTGATATTGCGTCACTGCATACAGATAACCATGGACAACAGTTCGACTACGACAACATCCAAATATTAGGAAGAGGAAACAACCAGAATGCCGGAGAATTTTCGGAAACTTGATATTTCAGTGAATCGGCAATTACCAGCCACATTGACATAGTTAAAATCTACCAATCAGTAAGAGGAAAATCTCATCCGCAGAAATTCAAACTTCAGGTTAAGGAAACAATCAATACAAATATAAGTAGACTGAATGATGTTAAGACAGACAAGAGCAGCCAACCACGTTCAAGGTCACCAGGAGAGGTGACGAATGAACTCATGGGGAAATTTCAAAGCTCACTTCAACAAAGCGAAGTATGCACTGCATATGTTACCTTGAAGGACAATGATGGCTTCTCAAGTAAAGCGTTCAGTTCAGAGAACACAACTACATCAAAATCATTTACCTGAGCTACAAATCTTCTCCAATATATACAATTCTGCAGTAGGCTGTTGGAAATGCTTTTGGTAATGTGTGTGCCAAGCGTCTGTACCATATACAGCCACTGATCCACTGCACTTCTGGTGTAAATGGTGAGCTTTCAACTGTTGGATCAACGACTGTGCTACTGCGACCAATGTTTTACATCACTTTGTCACAGTGAAACCGTTTGACGTAATTGTCAGAGGTGGCGTGCTCAATTCACTGGGTTAGACCTGAATTTTTATCCGGAATTAGCGACATCAATTTTATCTTTTTATTTCTTACTTTTGGTTTGGTCATTCAATTTTATCTTTGGATCGAAATGTGAGTATTTCTGATTATTGATCATTTATCCGAAGGGAAAATAATTATCTTAGAGGATAAGATCTTGTATTACATGATATTCTGTCAGTTTACTTGGAAATTATGTTTGAAGGATGAGTAAATATTTCACAATTAGGGTTTGTTAATGAAAAAAATAAAATAAAATGATAGTTTTACAGCAGTGGATGAAAGTGCACTAATCAGCTGATTAGCCCATTAAAACAGCAATGCTTGATATCTACCAATCAGAGAATGCTTAATTTGCTTACCAGTGCGTAGGCGTCAATCTAGTGTTTAAGCAATTTACACGCTTTTTGATTGGTTAATTTTAGTTGGCTTATGTCATGTTTAATCAGCTAATTATGGGTTTTATCTCCTACTACCAAGTATTAATCAACCAATTGCAGTTGGCAATAAAGATTAATAATACTTACCGGCTAGCCTAAATATTGGTAGGCAGGGGGGGGCAGGGTTCAAACCTATGACCCAGTGATTGGACAACAGCTGTACACTATGTCTGTTCAATATTATTATTATTGTTAAAATATAATAATACTGTTTCAGTATTAGTACATTTGTACTCTTATATATGCAGTAACATAAAAATAGTGCTGTTAGACTCTTGTCTATGTATAACACTGTTGTCTACACATATTTATTAATCCTGCAACAAAAATACGAGATACTGATATTTGTACTTACTCAAATTAATGTCCAATAATTATAATTTTTATTATGTTCTATTTATAATTCACAAAAGACTAGAAAAGTACATCTATGCTACGATATTCAAAGTATTTGATTCCAGTTATACAAATAAAGAAAGTACTATTAGTAGATAATTTTGTAATTTAATTTCATATAATATAAACTGAGAAATAATTTAAATCAAAAGACTGGCTGAAGAATTAGTCAGAGAAGACAGGACTCCACGTGAACATAAAGAAGATGGAGGTGATGAAGATAACGAACCAACCGGCCAACAGCAACAGCATCAACAACAAGCAGCACTGGTCACCATCAACAGGAGGCATTTGACAGAGGTCATTTCCTCCACTTATCTGGCCAGGAAGCTGGGTTTCAACCACATGCAGTTGGACAGCAGGGATGAAGATGTCAAAGCCTGCCAGCCAGCCAGAATCGTAAGGACAAGCAAGATACGCCGTCATCAACCTGGAACCAGTCTGGAAATCTTGTACCTCACTCAGCCAACCAGCATAAACAACACGATTCGGATTTTTTTCAACAGAAATGTTGATTCCATCATTGCTTCTATTATGTGTCAGAAATTCACACTGCGTTTCAGTCACTAAAAGGATTTCCAACAGTCAGTTGCAGACTTTTATCAGCAGCTGTCCATTTCGCTGGCTGGTTCCATACTGAAGATCAAATGGCCAACTGGCTGGTCAGAAAGAATTAGCAACAAGGAACTCTGGCTGTGAACAAACCAACGAAGAGTCTATTGTTCAACAAATATGTAAGAGAATGGAGATGGATCGAGCATAAGTTGAGAACGGTGTCGAACGACATCGGACGCCAAGCCCTCGAGTGGAACACAAGTGGGAAACGATGAATGGGGCGTCGTAGGGGGATGTGGAAGTGATCGTGCGCGGAGGAGGAGATGAGAGATTGTGGTTAGTCTTGGAGTCAGCCGGCTGACGAGGACCGCAGATGTCCAGGAACTTAACCCCAAGTTCCTATTATTTGTGAAGACGCTCCAGATCGATAATTACTAGGAACGATTATCGACATTAACTCCAAAACACAAGGACGAATAAGAAATGATATTCTTCGGCAGTTAAATTCGATATCAGTACAAAGTCTATAAACAAATGTTGTACAAGCAACTGTACTGTACTTTTATTCGTATTCTTTCGTCTTCTTCCAAATTGTACACTATTGAACCATTCGCGCCTACTACTACTGCAAGAAATGTGCAAATATTATCTTGTTAGACTATGAGCATCGTCTTTATAATACACAACTCTCCCCAATCGCATCTTATCAGGTAGCTTGGACGGCTAAGAACAAAAACTCTACAAAGCCTCATTTAGCAGGCATTTTACTTGATGAAAAAAGTGTAAAGCAGGAGGTTAGCAACTTACTGCGGAGCTCTAAGGCAAATTGCCTCATTTTTTCCCCACTGTTACATTGTTGTTTGAATATTTTCACCTAACTTAACTTTACATTCATATTCTTATTGAATAAGATTATAAGTGTACATGCCCTTGTCTTAATTATCACCCCTGTAATGAGAAAATTCGATGTCATATTCTACTGTAACGACAGAAGACAAGGGTCAAGCAACAGATCGTTTATTGAGAAAATCAAGAGATATTTATAGATTTTTATGTACATTATTATTAGCGTTATTGTTAGCAGAGAAGCAATGTATTCTGATTGGTTGTTTTCTTGCTGAAGGTTATTCTGTCATCTCTTTGTGGCCGTTTGTGAGATGGTCAGGCTATATATCTGCGAATGGTATTTGCACACGTTAAGTCTACTGATTGATTGGTTGGTGAGTCCCTCAAGGTTAAGCTTTGTTATTTTTTTTCCTCATGAAACCGATTCGGGATGTAACATTGACTTAAATTGTTGTCTACAATTTTGTCTCACCACAGTAATACATGCTGAAAATTCCATAGTTGTACCAAAAAATTGCTGTTTGGAATGAAGCGGCTATGATTATTGTTATTATCATTATTATTATATCCTTATGTCTATCCTATTTATTTTAATGTAACTTATATCAGAGATATCGCTGCTGGTGAAGAGTTAACCTTCAATTATAATTTTGTTGCATTGGGTCAAGAACGTTTAAATTGTCGATGTGGAGCTTCAAATTGTGTTGGATTTTTAGGTGCACGTTCAGAGTCCTCAAATAATAATAATAATGGTAATACTGCACAAGTTGGTACTGCTACTAATAATAATAATAGTAGTAATGGTACATCTGCTAATTCTTGTTCTGAGTCGAACAGTTCATCAACTGTTCCAGTGAATGCAGATACAATTCGTGGATCTAGGCGGAATACTTCACAAGGTGGTAGCAGTGGTAACTCACGTGCAGGTGGTACTGAAAAAGCGCATACAAATCATGATGGACGTGATTCAGTTTCCAGTAGAACTCCCATTTCAACTGTGTCGAATCATTCAATGGCAAGCGGAAGAAATAGTTCAGGAAGTGTAATGAATACTTCAGCGTGTAAAGACAAGTGTGTTGAAACGAAATGCTTCCGGTTAGTTTGTACTTGATTTGTTCTATGTCAGTCTCTTTTACATTTCGATTTGTACAGTTGTGTTGTTGTTTTACAGGATTTCATTATGAGCTGACCATGGGTTAGAGAACCATTGGAAAACCATCTGGGAATACTGGACAGGTGTTTCGTCCCCCTAGTTTGGGAATCTTCAGTGGAATATGCCCAACGGAATTGGGATCCAGCACCTTGCGGTTACAAGGCGAGATCGTAGACCATCAAGCCACTGAGACCCGATCCCATGAATTCCGACTTCTACCAGTTGTTATCTATCTTTATAGTGTAGTTTGTTGGACTTATTTATAATTATTATTTCCTAGATTACAGAAAAACAGCGCCATTTTACCTTGTCCTCTTCAGCCTTTATTTAGCTGGTTCTACAAGTGACTATATATGCTTTCGTGTTTCCATCTCATCACATGATCTTTTCGATGTTACGCTGAAGCCTACAGCCAACTCATCGTTTGCCTTTCGGGTGCCAGTCGAAGGTCTGATGTCTGGTGTTACTCAGTGGTTTTCTCAAAGTGCATCCAATCCATCTGTGTCTCTGTCTGTCTGTCTGTATTCGACATAGAACTTTGCACCAATGTGCAGCAGTTCAAGTCGCCACACTCCATGTAGCGCACAAAGCAAGAGAAGAAAGTAGAAGAAATGCATATTAGAGACAGTAATTAGAGGTGAGATACAAAGGAATAGTAATAACGAAGAACAATATAGTTTTAGTATGTATTATAATTAACAAGGAGTGGATACATCTGCGATAGCCATTCACATCGAGGATTTTGAGCCATATCACCGATTGTCTCCAGCCTTCATTGGTTTTTACCGTCCGTAGGACCTTGACCACGAAGTCTAAACCTCCCTACGTGGCTGGCTGGCTTAAACTAACTGTTGTGGATTTCATTGACTGGTGAAGCCATGTTTTGGTTTGACCACCGCTAGCTCTTTTCCAGCCTGACCCCTATGTCAGCTAACATTACCTGTTGTCGAGGAAGGCGATGGCTATGCTAGGCATACGTAACACATGCCCTAACCATCTCAGTCGATGTAGCTTCATAGCCTTGTCGATTGATTTCCCCTCCTTACCTAGAACTCAACGCCTAACCTCAATATTGCTCACCTTATTGTACCACTTCACGCGGGAGATAGAACTCAGACACCTATGATCAAAGACAGCTAGCTGGCCAGGCTTTTCATGTCTTCCACTCTGAATGGCTAGGTCTCACAGCCATAAAGGAGGACGGAGGGGACTGATGAGCAGTACACCCACCCTCTGGTCGATAGCCGGCTATCACGTCTACGCCAGAGACGGCGTAAACTGGCATATGCGAAACTAGCCCTCTGTATCCGTGCTGAGATTTCGTCAGAGATTAACCCGATGGGGCTGATGCACTCCATCTGTATTTTCTTCTACCTATTTGTTGGTTGGTTGGTTCGTTGCCTAGCTGGTTTATCCTTTCTGGCGGAGCATACGATCTTTTCAATGTAGGAACAACGAAGACGGCTGCTGCTGGTGATAGAAGTCTGTGGCAGTAGTCTGTTAGACTAGGCAGTAAATTTTACAATTCTCAATTCAATGCTGAGTTATTACTTTATTTCTGAGTTTGATGATTAATAATCGATAAGTCGTTGATCCGTTATTCGCCTTATTAGATTATATTGGAATGACGTTCAAGTTTTCCGAGGAAAAATGTGTTTTTGTTTAGGATGCATGCTTAAGGTTTTTATTGTTATTATTTAAATGAAATCAGTAAATTTTGAAAGTGCGCCATAAATTTCTACACTTTCTTTAAACAAAAACGACAATGATCAATAAATCAATTTTTTTCTATAGAATTCAACTCTATTTTGTGTTAACGTAATTTTTAAACCTTGAATTCCTTTCATCCTCATCATTTTAAAAAAATTTTGCCTATCACATTCAGTGTCAGTGTGTGCATGTTTCTTTGAGATTTAGAAATACTTTCTTCTCGTTTAATAATTTATTGATTGAGTTAGTTATAATGGTATTCAACTTTGATGATATTGATTGAGAGTTATGTCACTTCAACATTTACACTAGACTATTTCTTTGTTAGAGTGAACCGCACTTGCGGTTTGGTAAGACATTCTGTTTTCAAGAACTCAGTTATTTTCTTCCAGTTGTTCCTAAATTGTTGTGATGCCCATTAGTTCATTTTATACGGAACATAAATTAGTATAATGAGATTGGTGTATAAGGGTCTTACGCCGAGGAAATCTAACATCGTTTACTCATGAACGTGGTAGTCAGAACGTTCTTCTATGGTGAAGAGAAACATGTTTTTATGCTAATGGAGATTATACTAGATGTCAACCTGACTGATCTCTGGAAGCATCATCTTCGTACATGAGCATCGGAGAACTTGATATGCTCTACGAATATCATCTCAGCGGTATCCCGATCATTCACTGTCTGTTACCCCTAGAAATGGTTGGAAAAAGCGAACAGAGATAGTGAACCGCTGATGTCGTTGCTATGGGGATATTTTATAGTCTAGGTTCATCTCCTCTCCCTTGTTTAGAATCTGAGATGACATCGTTCGACTCATTAGCCTATATACGCTTTATCAAATGCTATAGCTTATAATAGATGCACAAAATTTAGAAATTCCGTCACGAATCGTTACCACTGAGTGAGTCATTCATAGAGAATCACAAACTACACGGGGCAACCAGCTGTTTTTCTTATCCTAGTTTAGGATCGTGTAGCAAGAGATACCTACGATCCCATCAGGGATCGAGTTGAACCGCCCATTGTGTAACAGGAGATGAGAAGAGACTTGGTAACGGACTCTTTTTATTAACGAAAAACGCTCATCATATTTATACATTTCTAGCCACATTAAAGTTCACTAGGTTAGAGAAAAATAAATAGTTCTGATTGGCTGACAATTGGCTCAAGGTTAAACATGGTTGTCCAATGTGAAGTTATTTCATGTCCACAAGGTATAAACTAAATCCTGATTGGAGGAAAATAAACACTTCTACTTCTGCCACCAGCCAGTCATTGACTTAAAATGTTGATTTCAAGTATTGGTTTTTGTAGGGATCTGATGCTCACTAGCGACTGGCCTTATTCAGGCAGTTAACCTGGGGTTCTAGCGGGAACCATGACCAGCAGGGTAAAGCAGGTTAAAGATGGTGAAGCAGCAACTCATCGAAAAAGACATTGCGAAGTGGTAACGCTATGTCATGAATTGGTAGAAGTTAGAATTCATAGGCTGGCCGTTGGATCGGGTCCCAGTGGCTTAATAGTTTACGAACATGCCTTGTAACCAGGTCATAGTTTCGAACCCTGTCGGTGGGTGCGTACTGCTGACGCGAAGCCCAAACTGAACTGATGAAACAGCTGTCCGAGACCCCCTAGTTGGTTTTCCGATGGTTCTCTAACCAATGTCAGCTCATGATGAAATCCTCCAACCAATGTTGATTTCAATTTTTAACCACTTCCTATCATCCACCCGTCTGTATTAAGCTACTGGTGACCACCATTCAGTCATCTTTTTGGAATTCAATGATTTCTATTCAAGTGTTGTTTCGAAGGGATTCGATAGGATGTATGTTTTCGTCACGAGCTGACATCGGTTAGAGAATTGATGGATAACCAGCTGTGAATACTGGACAGTTATTTTGTCCTGGTTTGGGAATCTTCAGTAGAACGTACTCACCGGGGTTCGAACCCAGAACTCACAGGTCATAAGGAGAGCTCGTAGACCATTAAGCCACCTGGATCCGATCCAATGGCTAGCGCATGAATTCATGACATAGCGCGACCACGTATCGTGAATCGGCAGAAGTTAGAATTCATAGGTTGGCCACTGGATCGCGTCCAAATGGCTTAATGGTCTACGAGCTCGTCACCATGCAACCGGTAAGTCGTAATTTTGAACCCCGGTGGAGATACATACTGCTGACGATTCTCAAACTAGGACGAAACAGCTTGCTCTCCCGTACTTCTACTTTTTTTCAATGGTTTTCATTATGAAATCCTGTTTGTCGATTTATAATGAAGAGAAAAAGATATGAAGATTTGTCTTTGTAAAAATTATCAATTTATATATGTATCTACACTATTGTTTTTCAGATGTGGTAAAGTAGAAGCTCCTGTTGGCCATCGTTCATTACAATCTTCTGAATTATCAAATTCAATATATCCTTCAATTACTGCTACTACTACGCCTACAAATACTATTTCCTCATCAAATAAACGTGGACTCAAGCGTGAATTAGAAAGACTTGTTGCAGCTGTGACTCATCATCAGTCACCAATTAAACACAAACAATCTCGACTTAGTAGTGGTAGTGCTGGTTCCTCTTTGAAATCTTCTAATATGATGAAAACAATCAAAGCAGAAGATCATGATGATGAGAATGATGCCGACAACGATGATGATGATGAGGATGAAGATGATGGTGATGGCGTTGATGGTGATGATAAACAGAGATTGAAAAAATCATCATCCGATTTAATTGTGTGCAGTAAATCTGATTGTCCAAAAGTATATCATTTATTCTGTTTAGATTTAGATGCACCGCCTGTTAGTGGTAAGTTTTCTCGTGGTATTTTAATGAGTCAGGATGATTAATTCAATGTTTGTCTGTCTGTCTGTCTGCCCATGTGTGTGTGCGCGCTCGCACGAGGGACCACATTTTCCTTTGGAAACCAAATAATTCAGATCATCACTCACACACATCTATGCAGTAGTAGCGGTTATGTTTTCATGACTCTGAACCTTCTCTCTCTTTTTTCCGAGTTTGCTACTTACTGGTTAGAGTAGGAAAATGAAGCGGTGAGGTTTAGAGAGATGTGTGTTGGTCGGTGGGCGCGGGGGAGGCATTGAACTCACTTCGTCGAGCACTGATTCTACCATCGTTATACTCCCCGTAATTTAAAATTACTTACTCTGATACTCACTAGTGACTAGGCCTATTCAGGTAGATGGTTACCTGGGGTTCTAGTGGGACCAGTCGTGACCAGAAGAGTACATACAGCAGGTTGAAGGTGATGAGGCAGTAACTCAACGAAGAAGACATTGTGAAATGGTCGCGCTATGTCGTGAATTGGCAGAAGTTAGAATTCAAGAACCCAGTCGCTCAATGGTCTACGAGCTCGCCTTGTGACCAGAAGTTCCTGGATTCGAACCCTGTTGGTGGGTGGGTGGGTACTGAGGAAGAGTCCGAAACTGGGCGAAACAGCTGTCCAGTACTCCCTAGTTGGTTTTCCAATGGTTCTCCAACTGATTTCATCTCATTATGAAATCCTCCAGCCAATCAAACAAAATCTCTATAAAACCAATACTAGAAAATTAGAGAGTTTAGTCATAATCATGTTAGGACATAAACTCGCAATGTTGTAGTTATTTTATACATATTCCTCAAACGAATATATGCCTTGTATCTGACTAGTCATCGTCACATAGAGATAGGAATAATCAATTGTATTGATTATTACCAGATAATAAGATACTTTGTCTCCAACAACTATGACTCATTGGCTCATTTTTTTCTTGTATTCCTTTACGTTCCGATCGGAACATATAAGGCTTCAAGCTAGAGTTTTGAAGTTTCGATAGCAGTGGTGTGTTGTTTTTACGGTGTGAGATGGTGGTTGCTAGTCTGACGCCTAAACTGCTTTCTTTACTGACTTAGACAGGTTTAAGAATACACCAGCTGGCGATTGAACCCACGATCCCGTGATGCGTGGTTGGCAAGTGTTCTTTCGCTGAATCCTTGACTTATAGTGTGCTGCATTAAATATGTGACTGTATAAGACAAACATCGTCGCAAGTCGATATAAGAATAAAACTTGTGCACTGTGGTAGAGTGCGTCGGTGGCATAGCAGTTAGGACGCTCGCCGACCGTGCACATGGTCCGGGGTTCGATCCCCGGCCGGCGCACTCCTTTGCCTCGCTAAGCCTGAACTAAAACCTGGTGAAGAGGAAAGGTTGGGCTTGAGGCTAGCAACCCCATCCTTTAAAATAAACACTGCTACAGAAACTTCAAGCCTCTAGCTTGAAGCCCTATGTTCCACTGGGAACGTGAAGGAATAAAACAAAAACTGTGGTAGAGTGTAATTCCATTATGGGTAAATTTTGTTTTGATAAAGTCTCAGAGTAAATATTACTGTATAACCCTGTGAGACTTTATCAAAACAAAATTTACCCATAATGAAATTGTCACAAGTCATTCCATTTATACAATTAACCTTTATTATGCGGTCATAAGTTAGAATCATAACTTACTCAACAATATTTTTTAGAGATCAGGTCATATCATAACTTGTTGTCAGCTGTATATTATGATTAAGAAAATAAATGACCAATGTTGTATTTCCAGACAATTGCGTGTATGTTACTTTACTTGTGTGAAGGCGTCGATATGGCCATCTGGTTGCTGAAATCGACATGAGATGGTAAAGTGCTTGTATATGTATAATATGGCTTATAACCAATATTCAGTCTTGAACACAATCGTGAGGTCATACACTGACCACAGGTGAAGTAACATGAATTCACGAGAAAGTTATCCAAAGACTATTGATACGTAACGATCATACTTATCCTTGTCTTTATTCATGAATAAGCGTATAGTTTATACATTTTTTGTAAATCACAAAGTAGTGAAACGACTGCAAGTGCCGAGTGAAATATTCATGCTAAAGAATTTGACGTAAAGCAAGCAGATTCGACCACCAAACAGTCCTTTGGAGTCAGTAGTAATACATATCTGACTGACTGGTTGGTTTCAACATGCCCAGCCACCGCCTTCCTCGATGGGCAATATTAGCTGACATAGGATGGGTGAAGTTGAAAAAGAGCCAGTTAATGGTGGTCAAACCAAAACGTGGCTTCATCAGTCAATGAAATCCACAACAGTTAGTTTAAGCCAACCAGCCAGCCATGTAGGCAGGTGCAGACTTCGTGACTGGTTTGGATCCTCGGTGTGATAAGAACCAATGGCGGCTGGAAACAATCAGTGATATGGCTCAAAATCCTTATTCTCAATGTCTGGCTCAGATGTATTCACTCTTCTTGTGAATCATCATATCCAATAAAAATCTATTGTTCCTCCATATGACGACTATTCTTTTTCCCTCACTTACAGTTGTGTTTATTGTCTCTGTCGATTCGAAAGAATGACAATAAACAGAAATATGAGGAAGATAAAAAAGTAACATGGAAAAACGATAGGATCCAGTAGATATGTCAGATCACAGAGAATCAATGTATTTGCGTCACTGAGAACGATTTAGAGTCATATCACCAATATTCCTAAGTCATTGGTTTCTAGAATCCCAAGGACCCCAACCAGGTTGTCTATATCTCCCTGCATGGCTGCCTCAAACTAACTCTCAGTGTTTTCTTGGACTGTATCCACGTTTTGGTTCGTTCGTCACTAGCTCTTTTACAACCTGATCGATCCTATGTCAGTGGCTAACACGGACCGTCGAGGAAGGCGATGGCTAGACTAGACATGTCGTAACCATCTCAATCGATGTGACTTCACAACCTCGTCCATTGATTTGCCGCCTTATCTATCACTTGATCAAAGCCTAACCTTAATAATACTCGCCATATTATACCACCAAACGCGAGAGATAGAACACAGACACCTATGGTCGAAGACAGCTAGCTAGTCTTTTCATGTTGTTTTTCGACTTTCAGTGATCATGTCTCACTCACAACCATAAAGGAGGAGGATGGAGCAAACTGCTTCTGTGTGACACACACGTGCTTTAATCGATAGCCAGTCGGATATCACATGTATACCAGAGATGATGCGATTCGGCCAACGTTATACAAGCTTTTCTTGTCCGAGTAATACATGTGATGATTATATTTAAAATTAGAATATCAATGTGCTGTCATACTTTTATTTATTTATTTTTATTTCATTCTTTTTCTATTCTAAGGTCGATGGTTTTGTCCTTGGCATCATTGTGATGCATGTGGTCGTCCTTCGCATGTCTTCTGTTCCATATGTCCATCTTCATTTTGTTTAGCGCATGTTGAAGGCAGTATTATTGTACTGCCACCAATCATACCGAAACGTAAATCTAGGTCAACTAACAATCGATCTAATAATAATAATAATAGCAACTCTTCTGCTGAAGATGCCCTTCTTGCACGAGTAAGTTTATTTTGTTAATATATATAGTATTCATAGACTATAAAACAATCTTTTTGCCTAGTCTGTCTAGTAGTTTTGATATTTGTATGGTTTCGTCTGTTGTTTAGTACTGCTTATATCATGTGAATACTGATCATTAGTTTCAAGCGTGATCACGAAAATGACATCAATCAAAAGATCTTCAAGTGTTGGTTTGTAGGGATTTGGTTGATTGGTTACATGATTTCATCATGAGCTGACATTGGTTAGAGAACCATTGGAAAACCTGGGAGTACTGGACAGCTGTTTCGTCAGCCTAGTTTGGGACTCTTGTTCACTACGCACGCACCGGGATTCGAACCCAGGACATTGGAAGGGGTCCCAGTGGTTTAATGGTATTCGAGCTCACCTTGTAACCAGAAGGTCCTGGGTTTGAATCCCGGTGGGTGCGTACTGAACAAGAGTCTCAAACTAGGACGAAACAGTTGTCCAGTACTCCAAAGTTTTCCAGTGGTTCTCTAACTGATGTCAGCTCATGATGAAAATCCTGTAATCAAAAGATCACTGAAACTGTTGGATATACTTGGTAGTTTCGTCCTAATCGCAGGGACTCTTCAGCACAGAAAACACTCCATGACTTCAAGGGGGTGGATGATTGAAGAACGCTTAATATCTTTGAGTTACATGACGAGCACCGATAAATTGCAACTTCCGCTAAGTCGCTCGTTCTGTGTAGTGCAATCCAGATATAGAATTATGAGTGGACCAGGTTTTGTATAGGATAGCAACAACAGCAGCAGCATCTCATATTCTAGCAGTCTTATTTCTTCCATCTCATATCGCACATTGTCTCAGTAGTACATGGCCTTCCTTACTTTCCTTGCTGCTTTGTAAGCGAGTTGATATGTGTAATGTGGCAGTGGATTTCTTGAATCGTTTTCAATCAGTAACAAACAAAAAATAAGCCAAATTATGATTTCTCCTAAAATATCCTGTCTGATGGTTTGAACTGAAAACCTTTCATTCATTCATTTTATTGAGGTAAAAAAAGCAACTGATGATGATACCCCCACTACCCTATATGACTAAGTGAGTTTTAAGCAAAGGACTTTGCATAAAGAAGTTCAGGAGTTTAAATTTGCCACCCTCCATATAAAGAGATTCGACAAACAAAACGACCGTGAACCGAAGTCTGTGGGAGAAAGAATAACTAACCTGGATAAACTTGAGGGTTTATGCTAGTGTTAATCATAGTTCACCATTGAGAAAGGTTATAGTCCAGTATCACGACTACTTGGTGGCTGGAAACTTTATTGATTGATGCTACTACTCTTGGCTTGACTACTTTTAACTTTTCTCCAGCCTAGTTCTATGTCAGGTGGTGGTAAGTTTTTCGTCGTTGAAGGCAGAGGCCCGGAATGCATATGCGCAATGCATGCCCTGGTCCCATGTTCAATCTATGAGTTCCCCTCCTGACCTTGACACTTGCTGTACACCTAATCTCTCAGTATTGCTCCCTCAGTGTTATCCACTACTGTGATGTGTGTGTAGGAAGTTTATATATTCTGAAATTTTAAAATGTTCATTATTACAGAGTTACTGCTTAGGATTTCCTTGTTAGTATGTCTGTTTGTTTTCAAATGGTTCCATTGTGCAGAAATGTCTTCATAATAGAATGTAAATATAAAAAATTTATATTAAAATCCTATCACATATATGTCGTCATATGTTACTTATTATTATTGTTCCCTTGGGTTACGAGGGGAACATAGGGCTTCAACTGCATATCTCCACTTTGTTCTAATTTCTGAAGTCCTGTTCAGCTGATCCCACGTTTGCATATAGTCTCTCATCTCCTTCTCCGCACAAAATCTCTTCCATGTCACCCTCTGACGCTCCACTCGTCGTTATCCGTTTGAGTTCCACTCGAGGGCTTGGCGTACGATGTCGTTCAACGGCCTTCTCAACGTATACCTGATTCATCGCAATTTTCTCCCACATATTTGTTGAGCAATATACTCTTGGTTGGTTTGTTCCCAACCAGTGTATCTTGTTGGTAATTCTTTCCAACCCGCCATCTGATTTTAAGCATGAAGCCACCAAAAGGGGGAAGCTGTTGATGAAAATCTACGCTAGCCTGTTGGAAATGCTTTTCGTGATACGGGCTCCAAATTTCTGACCTATATAGAAGCAGTAGTGGACTCAACATATGTGTTGAACAGAATCCGAATACTGTTGTTTATGTCGCGGAGTGCAGAAGATTTTCAAAATGATTTCAGATTGATGAAAGTTTACCTTGCCTTTGCAATTCTGACCTCGACATTTTCATCATTGCCCTAATGTGGTTGAGAGGGTGCTTCCCAGATAAATGAAATTCCTCCCGTTGATGGTGATTAGTGCTGGTTGCTGTCTCTGTTGATTGGTTGGTTATCTTCATCGCCTTTGTCTTCTTTATGTTCACCTATAGTCCTATCTTTGTTGCCAGTTTATTGGTTTTCGCCTGTAAGTCTTCGAGTGTGTATGACATTAGACATTAAATCATCCACACACGCAATATCGAGATCTTCGAGAGTCATTTTATCAGTGGTCCAGCGTATTCCTGTCTCCTCACTCCCCACGACACGGTGTTCCGTATAATCCAGTTCACGACAAGTAGTAGGAACACTATCACAGTGATAGTAGACAAGTAATCTTGTTTAACTCCTGCTGTCTCTCATATAGCTCCTTTAATCGCCTCTCGTCAGTTAAATTTGTAGTTTTTATCTTTATATGCTTATTCATTATCTTTTTCTATTTCTTATTTGGGTGTCTTTTCTTTTCTCCTCCCCTTTCTCAGATTGTATGCATGTCTCATTATGAATTAGTGGAGAAAATGTCCAAAACAACAACAACTACTAGTCATGGAATAAGTTCAGTTAATACTCCTGCTCCGTCTCCGCCGCCTCCGCTGCCTGCTCCTTCTTCTCCCCCATCACCTCCTCCTCCTCTGCATTCCAATCCGTCAACACCGACAGCCGATAATAATCATAATAATGATAATAATTCACTCCTAACTGAAGAGCCAGGCGAAATTGAAAAAGACGACAAAGAAAACGCAGAAGTAGGCAAATTTGAAGACAAAACGGTAGTAGAAAGCGATGAAGACAAAGGCGGTGTGGAAAGAGACGATAAAGATGATGAAAGAGTAGAAGTAGACGAAGATAGTGTAGAAAGGAACGAAGAAGAAGAGGAAGAAGGTGTAGAAATGGATGAGGATAAAGAGAGAGTAGAATTTAAAGAAGATGCTGTGCAAAGTATTGAAAACATAGAAATAGACGAAGAAAATGAAGAAGAAGGTGTAGAGGAAGATACAGTAATCATGGAAGACGAAAGAGAGGAAGAAGTAGAAAGAGGCGAAGATCAAGAAGAAGGAGAACGAATGGAAGAAGATGTAGACAATAATGATGAAGCAGAGCAGTTGAATAGTGTAGAGTCGTCAGGGTTGTGGACTATAAGAACATATAGTAGTAGTAGTAGCAGTAGTGGTCAATCAATAGAGGCGAATACTCTACACGACGATACTACCACTACTATTACTAATTATAATAATGATGATATGAATAACAATATCAGTAACGATAGCCAATCTCCTTCTCCTCCTCCTGCTGTTGCTTCTTCCCCTTGTTCGTCTGTTACTTTCGAGTGAACTGTGTAGAATGATGACTCCCTCTTAAAGGCTGTGTGTAAGCCCTAGATAACAAATGGTGGAACTACTGAAACAAACATAGAGTGTAAATATAGGTGTATATGTGTGTGTATATAGGTGTGTCTGTGTATCTGTATGTCTGTGCATCTGTGTGTGTGTCTATGTATAAATGTGAAATGATCAATTAATTGATCAACTATATATTTTATTTTAATGTATACTTGTACTACTTGTATATATATACTTATTTATTTAACTATTTATTGGACGAATGATTTGAAAAAAAAGATGGACGAACAAATGAAACTTATTGCAGATGGATTCTTTTGTCTTTTTCTCTTTTTTAAACAGAAATTATCATCCAGTAACTAGCTGGCTAGAGTTCTAGTCGAAAGTCGTGACTACATTGTAAGGTCTATCACAGGTCGGGTGGACCAGTGAGATGACATTGCCTAGTGGTTGCGCTGAAATCATGAATTGATTGATAGAAGTCAGTTCTTGTGTTGTGCTGGTCATTGAATTGCGTCCCAGTGGCTGAATAACGGTCTACGAGCTCAACCGATAACCTGTAGGCCCTAGGTTCGAAACCTGGCAGTAGAAGGGTGGGTAGGTAGTTGGCTACTGCTGATGAGTCCCAAACTAGTAGGATGAAATAGTTGCCCGGTACTCTAATACTGGTGTTCAATGGTTCTCTAACTGATAATAATAATAATAATAAGTCGTGACCAGTAGGGTGCAGTAGGTCGGGTGTGAGGACAAATACTCGCCAGTGATGACATTGGCTAGCGGTTGCGCTATATCGTGAATCGGCAGAAGTTAGAATTCATGGGCCATTGGATCGGGTCCCAGTGACTTAATGGTCTACGAGCTAGCTCGCCTTGTAGCCAGAAGGTCCTGGGTTCGAATCCTGTCGGTGGGTGCGTACTGATGAAGAGTCCCAAACTAGGATGAAACGGCTGTCCAGTACTCGCTAGTTGGTTTTCCAATGGTTCTCTAAGCAATGTCAGCTCATGATGAAATCCTGTAACCAGTCAACCAAATCCCTACAAACCAATACTTGAATAATAATAATAATAATAGTCTGTGGTCAAAATCTTGCGACAAATCAAATCCCTACAAAGACTAATTCTTGAAAAGAAATTATATTAATTTGTATTATCTCAGAGTGTGGAGATGAGGACCTTCAATGTTATAGTGGATTCAGTTTCTAATAATAATAATAATGATAAACTTTATTTCAAAAACAGTACTTGTGATACGGAATGGAATTTTCAGCATTAATCACAGTATTGCATCTAATTTCCTCAAATTATAAATAAAATTAATCACTTACAAAATTTTCCACATTTACAATAGGGGTAATGTTAAAAACATGCAGCATATAAAATGGAAATAATAATAATGATAGCAGCTAAGGTAATGATAATAATACAAGTGGAAATTTCCGTGGACTTGTTTCACACAGTATTGTCGATGCGGTATACAAATCCTTGCATGATTAAAAATAGTGAATATGATGATGGTGAGGGAAAAAACAAAGATTACAGCAGTCATAGAGATAAGTTGGTGTTTGCAGTTATGAAAGTGAAAACAAAGAATCAACAGGACCATAAATATAATAGAAATAATAAAAGTAAAACTTGAAGGTATATAAAGATGGATGGAGGAGATTGTTTATTTACTAGATGAAAAAAGGTTAGTCAATTCTTGCCTGACGCTATTTTCATCACATAAAATACGTGCCAGGTATGGTATCATAGAATTTTTATACTTAGACGTGCGAGCATACAGTTTTCTGAAGTTACTTCTTGTTCTACCTGAGAAGATGCAAGGTGAAAACTGAAGGTGAAGTGGATGTTCCATGTCAGACAAAATACCTTTAGCAAATTTACTGCACGAGGTCAAGTGCCCATCGACAACGACGTTAACTATGTGATCCACTGGGACACCACTCACCCTACTTACAGTCTTCAGCATTCTACGAATTGTGACATAGTCCTTTGTAAGCAAAGCAGGAAAGAATAAAGGTGAACAATAAAGAAGAATAGGTAGGATGCAAGAGTTTATGAACTGTAAGAGGAGGGGTTGAGTTATACCCGAGTGCCTTAACTTCATGTAAAATGTCAGGCGGAATACTTTACTGGAGATCGCTAAGACATGGGAAGACCAGGAGAGATAAGAAGAGCGAATAAGTCCAAGATACCTAATTTCTGATTTAATTCCTATATCATTGTCGTCAATCTTACAGCTGTCATGAGAATCGACGGCTTCTTTTAACTGTCTTTTACATTTTAAGCTGAAATTAACAGTTTGACATTTAGAAGGATTCAGTTTAAGACCGTTAGACTCAGACCATTTACTGACTCCCGACAGAAAGCTATTTATTTTGGTACAATCTAACTGGGAGTTAACAGCCATTGAAACAGTTAAATCATCAGCGTACTTCACAAAATTTATTTCATCAGACTGAGGCAAGTCATGTAAGAAGAAAGAAAAAAGGAGAAAGGACAGAGCCTTGAGGGATACCAGCTTCAGTAGGCAATGAAGTGGAAGACTTCCCTTTTTACACAGTGTACTGCTGTCTTTCTGAGAAATAGGAATGTAACCAGTTGACAGCCCAACATTCTGTTGAAGGCATTCGGCTACGTTGGTATTCTCAGTATTTTATGTGTTCTTGTGTTGCGAGCGCCCATTGGTGTGTGTGTGAGACAGAGAAATATTTATCTCAGGATCTATTTGTTGAGTAACTACTGCCTTGATGTATACATACTGTGTTTTGATGAATACAACTGGAATCAATAGAACAAAAGAAGCAAGTAAAAGTATACTGTAACGACAAAAGACAAGGGTCAGGCAACAGATCGTTTATTGAGAAAATCAAGAGATATTTATAGATTCATATGTACATTATTATTAGCGTTATTGTTAGCAGAGAAGCACCGTCTTCTGATTGGTTGTTTTCTCACTGAAGGTTATTCTGTACTGCTTGTGATTGTTTCTCAGAAAGTTAGGCCACATACCTGCGAATCGTATTTGCACACGTTAAGTCTGCTGTTATTTGTTGGTGAGTTCCTGAAGGTTAAGCATTGTTATTGCTTTTTCTCATGACCCATATTCGGTACGTAATCAAATTAAAAGAAGAGTAAGCAAATCGAATTACTTACTATGGTTATGAAAATCTAATAACTTCTTACTGCTGAATGTAAGATGAGTTTCCAAATTCTGACAGCAGTTGCTTTGATAAGTTTTTGAGATAAGGATGAGTCGAGTTATATTGTTTAGTGATTATTTTAACGGATTTCAAGATGTTATCTACATGATGACCAGGGGATCAATGAGATGCCGTGTTTCTTCCCTTGAGATGTAGTCTTCTAAAGTACTTGCTCAAAGTATCTCAGGTGTGCGTTTCTTTCTGAACTTACTTCTAACGTAACTGCTACCGCACGCAGATGTCAATATCTGTACACAATTAGATTTAATTTATATGAGTTAGGTATATATCTGTTGATTGCATTAAGGAGCATATTGTTTGTTCGATTATATTATTATTAGTTTCCTTTAATTCCTATAGGAACATAGGACTTCAGCCACGCGTCTCCATTGCGTTCGGTTCTCTGCTAGAGTCTTCACCTGGCTCCAAGTCTGCCCACACGTTTTCACCTCCTCTTCACACAACCTCCTCCAAGTCACCCTTGGACGACCAACTCGCCGCTTTCCTTTCGGGTTCCACTCGAGGGCTTGTCTAGTGACGTAACTTGATGGTTTCCTCAGAGTGTGGCCAATCCATCTCCATTTCTACCTGCCTATTTGTTGCACAATCGATTCCTGCTGAGTTGGTTTGCTCCCAAAGATCCCTATTGCTGATCTTTTCTGGCCGGCCATCTGATCTTGAGTATTGAGCGAAGACAACTGTTAATGAAGGTCTGTAGTTTGTTTGAGATGCTCTTTATGACGCGCAGTGCAAGTCTCTGATCCGTATAGTAAGTAGCACTGACTTCACATTGGAGTTGAAAATCCAGATCTTATTTATGATGCTGAGTGCTGTTGACCTCCACACAAACTTGAGAGTAGTGAAAGCTTGTCTTGCTTTTCTGATTCGTGCTTTGATATCCTCGTCAGTTCCGTCTGCCTGTAGTTGAAACGATGCTTCCCAGGTAGGTAAAAGAGGTTGTTTCTTTCAGGTTCCTCCCATTTATGCTGGCTGATTGTTGTCTGTTGTTGTTGTTGTTGCTGTTGCTGCTGTTGGCCAGGAATCTTCATTACCTCTGTTTTCTCTATGTTCACCTGAAGTCCTAGCTTCTCTGGATGCCTTTTCTATCACCAACTTGTTGCTTTTCGCTTGCATATCTTCCAGTTTGTGGGAAATCAGACATTTATCATCGGCGAAGTCCAGATCCTACAAGTTTTTCGTGTGAGTCCATTTTATGCCTGTTTCCTCATTTTACACTGTTTGTCGCATTATCCAGTTTACTGCAATCAGGAAAATCATTGGCGATAGTAGGCAACCTTTTCTTACTCCTGTCCTCACTTCGAAGGATTCTGTAAGTTTCCCGTTGTGGATCACTTGTCATGCATCACTGTCACACAACTGTTGGATGAGAAGTATAATTTTTGGTAGCGTCCCTTAGTAGCGAAGTAGTTGGCAAATCACCTCTCGATCGACGCTGTCGAAGGCCTTTTCAAAGTCGATGAAGTTGAGATAGAGAGGTGACTGCCATTCCAAGTTTTGTTCGATGATGATCCGTAATGTGGCGATCTGATCAATGCATGACTTATTTCTCCTGAATCCAGCCTGTTCCGGTCGAAGTTTTCATCCAGGGCATGTTTGCTTCTCTCCAGGATGATGCGGCTGTTTGTTCTATAGACGGGATAAATTCTGGTTAGTTAGGTATTCAACCCTTTGTGGACTATTTCTGCAATATTATCACCTTTTATAGTCGAGTTGTATGGAATGTGGGCTTCTTGGTTACTATGATTTATTGTTTTACGTTTCACATCTTTACACATAAACTCAGCAACGAGTAGAGGGAGTAAAATTTACATTTGAATCAGAAAATAAACAAGGTGAATTAGCTGTGTGTTAGACTGTAAAATAAAACGAACAGAAGAAGCTAAACAAACTGCATTAGTGTCTATAAAAAGCCAGTGCAGTCTTATGGATAGATATTTAGATTTTCAATCATCTCATTCGTTATCTATAAATGTAGGCTTAGTTAAGGTTTTAACAAATCGAACAATAACTCAGTAGCACATTTCTGTTTAATTTCATCATGGATGTACTAATGAAATTAACC